ACCCCACTTCCGGTCGCGCGGCAGGCCCCGCCCCACAACCACCGAGACGACCCGGCCGGAGCGCCGCCATGGCGCGGTCCTCCAGCCGCCATCTTGCGCCCCGAAGGGCTGGAGGAGCCAGGGCTGGGCCGGGTCCCCGCGGCCTCGCTCTCTGCTCCGGGGTTCTCGGAGCACTGTGAGGCCGGGGCAGCGGTAGACCGCCCGGCGACAGTGGCCTGTGGGATGGGCCCAGGGATGGATGTGATAAGAGGTGTCGTTAGGCCTGGGGACAGCTGTGATGGCCCATCAGGGGCCCATAGCCAGGCCTGAGGTCGGACATGATGTCCCAATGTGGGTCTGAGGGGATGAAACCAGGCCCAGGGACAGCCGTGGTGTCCCAGTGTGGGTCTGGGGGGATGAAAACAGGCCCAGGGACAACCGTAGTGTCCCCTGCTCTGGGGTTCTCGGAGCACCGTGAGGCCGGGGCAGCGGTGGATCGCCCGGCGACAGTGGCCTGTGGGATGGGCCCAGGGATGGATGTGATAAGAGGTGTCATTAAGCCTGGGGACAGCTGTGATGGCCCATCGGGGGCCCATAGCCAGGCCTGAGGTCGGCCATGGTGTCCCAGTGTGGGTGCGGCCAGACCCCGGTTCTATAACCCAAACCCACCCAAGCCAGGCCCCGCCGCCTCTCACCTCCGCCCGGGCCGGCCCGCTCCCGCCGCCAAACACAGCCGCGTTGCCACGGCGACGACCCCACTTCCGGTCGCGCGGCAGGCCCCGCCCCACAACCACCGAGACGACCCGGCCGGAGCGCCGCCATGGCGCGGTCCTCCAGCCGCCATCTTGCGCCCCGAAGGGCTGGAGGAGCCAGGGCTGGGCCGGGTCCCCGCGGCCTCGCTCTCTGCTCCGGGGTTCTCGGAGCACTGTGAGGCCGGGGCAGCGGTAGACCGCCCGGCGACAGTGGCCTGTGGGATGGGCCCAGGGATGGATGTGATAAGAGGTGTCGTTAGGCCTGGGGACAGCTGTGATGGCCCATCAGGGGCCCATAGCCAGGCCTGAGGTCGGACATGATGTCCCAATGTGGGTCTGAGGGGATGAAACCAGGCCCAGGGACAGCCGTGGTGTCCCAGTGTGGGTCTGGGGGGATGAAAACAGGCCCAGGGACAACCGTAGTGTCCCAGTGTGGGTCTGGGGGGTGTCACTAGCCCTGGGGATGGCTGTGATGTCCCAATGTGGGCCCAGGGGATGTAACCAGGCCAGGGGAAGACCATGATGTCCCAGTGTAGGACACTGAGGGACATAACCAGGCTTGGGGACAGCCCTAATGTCCCGGTGTGGGCCATATCTGGGCCAGGGGACAGCCGCAACACGCTGGTGCCAACAGGAGGGGCATACCTGTGATGGCAGCCGTGTCCCCGTGCGGGCTCAGCGCTGGGATGGGACATGGTGTCAGGCCTTGATGGCGGGGCAGGGGTGGCTCCAGCACCTTCTGCAGGGGACAGCCGCAACACGCTGGTGCCAACAGGAGGGACGTACCTGTGATGGCAGCCGTGTCCCCGTGCGGGCTCAGCGCTGGGATGGGACATGGTGTCAGGCCTTGATGGCGGGGCAGGGGTGGCTCCAGCACCTTCTGCAGGGCTGGGGGCTCCATCCTGAGGGGCAGAAGGAGATGGAGGTGAGGTGGCAGCAGGGTCCTCTCCCAAAGAGCTGCTCCACACCCCAAAGGTAAGGGCGATACTTTGGTCGTCCCCGTCCCTCCCCCAGGAGCTCAACTTTCCCCCATCCCACCAGGAGCAAACCCTTGCTGTTTTCACCCCACTTGAATTACAAAAACATTTTTTTTTAAAGCCTGAAAATTTAAAAATACAGTGTTAGACCCTCTCCTGAGCAAAGGCAGCTCAATGGGAACAATGGGGTGAGGTTTTAACCCCCCCATGACATGAGTTCCATGACAGTGCGATTGAGCAGCTCCATCTGAGCCGTGGCTGAGTAAAACCAGACAAATCGACACCAAACTCATTCCTTTTGGTGAGAACACCTTTAAAAAATTACACTTTACACACAAGATCATCTGGGGACCTAAAACAACTTCTCTGGGGGGCTTTTAAGCTCTCTTTGTTCCAGGAGAGCTGACAGGGAGGGGGAGTCCTCCCCGTCCCCCGGGGCTATAAATGGCCCCTGAGTCAGTTTTCCTCAGAACACGCCACGTAACGCTGACATTTCCATCTCTTCCCGTTAATCCCTTTTTAAAACCCCGCTTCTAGTTAACCAGCTGCTTCTCCCACAGACAGATGCCCACCAAAGGCAGCAAGAAAGAAGCAATAAATAACTGGAGATAACTTTATCTACCCTCAAACCGGGGATCTCCACCCTGCGGGCGGGGGAAGATCAAGGCGTAGCCGCGCACTAAAAAGGGTCAGAAAATAATTGCCCATCGGGTCATTCCATCCACAGGATGTTGGGGAATATCGCCCCGGATCAAAGCACCGATTTCACATTTATCCAATATTTACATTTCAATAAGGCCCTGAACATTTCAATAAGGCCTTGAACAAACCCAGGCGCGGGGTTGATGCCCTCCTTGCTTTGCTCCGTGGGATGGCTGAAATGTTTCGTTATTTCCAATGGGATAAGAACTTCCACGGGTGGTTTTTAAGCCCTCAGGGTTGTGCCTTGATTTAAGAGAGGGTTTCGCTTTCCGTGCTCGCCCTCCTGAGATCCTCCGTGCAGAGGGAGGGCTGAAAATGAGGGGATTTGGTTAAAGCCTCCTGTGGATCCCCAATCTGCATGATCCCAGCCCTCTGGGCTCCATTTTGGCCCCCAGACAGTGCCTTTATTCCAGGTTTAGCCAAATTTTACAGCAAAAAAGCCAGATCAGGGCCAACACGGCAACAAACCTGCCCCCAAGGGCAAGGACCTGCAACTCCAAAGCGTGTGAGCGTGAGCGGTGCAGATAATGACCATCAATGGGGAAAATCTTTTCTAATGGAAGTTTTTTTTGTGGATGAGGTGCGAAGGGGATGTTTAATCCTCAGGGATGCCGTGGTTTTAAGAGTCAGGGGATTTGGGTGTGGGCGTGATGCCCATCGGTTCACATTGTGGCATTTCGGGGTGGTTTCTGGTGCAGATGGTGAGGGCAAGGCACTCGGCACACCTGAGTGGGGAGACAGGCGAGCTGCTGCTCCCCTTCAGTTCCTTCTTGGGCTTGGATGGCTTTTTATTCCACTTGGCAGCAGGAAATAAAAGGTTAGAGGGAATAAAAGCCCCAGGACAGACATCTCTGTTGGCTTCAGGGGAGAAGCCGGGAGGTGACAACCCCTCCAGCGAGCAACTTTGGTGGCTCTCAAGAAATTCAACAAGGGATTTTCTTCTTGATTACAGATCCCTGAACCATTTTCTTACAATCACCCCCCCAAATCCCTTCCGGAGAAGTGTGGTTAATTACTGAGCCCTGCATATGGGCCTGATACGCTGCGTTTGTGTGCGTGTTTGCCCTCACCCTGCCGTTTCACAGGGAAGATAGCAGCCCAGTGTGGGCCCAGGGGACGTAACCAGGCCAGGGGATGACCATGATGTCCCAGTGTAGGACACTGGGGGACATAACCAGGCTTGGGGACAGCCCTGATGTCCCAGTGTGGGCCATATCTGGGCGAGGGGACAGCCGCAACACGCTGGTGCCAACAGGAGGGACGTACCTGTGATGGCAGCCGTGTCCCCGTGCGGGCTCAGCGCTGGGATGGGACGTGGTGTCAGGCCTTGATGGCGGGGCAGGGGTGGCTCCAGCACCTTCTGCAGGGCTGGGGGCTCCATCCTGAGGGGCAGAAGGAGATGGAGGTGAGGTGGCAGCAGGGTCCTCTCCCAAAGAGCTGCTCCACACCCCAAAGGTAAGGGCGATACTTTGGTCGTCCCCGTCCCTCCCCCAGGAGCTCAACTTTCCCCCATCCCACCAGGAGCAAACCCTTGCTGTTTTCACCCCACTTGAATTACAAAAACATTTTTTTTTAAAGCCTGAAAATTTAAAAATACAGTGTTAGACCCTCTCCTGAGCAAAGGCAGCTCAATGGGAACAATGGGGTGAGGTTTTAACCCCCCCATGACATGAGTTCCATGACAGTGCGATTGAGCAGCTCCATCTGAGCCGTGGCTGAGTAAAACCAGACAAATCGACACCAAACTCATTCCTTTTGGTGAGAACACCTTTAAAAAATTACACTTTACACACAAGATCACCCGGGGACCTAAAACAACTTCTCTGGGGGGGCTTTTAAGCTCTCTTTGTTCCAGGAGAGCTGACAGGGAGGGGGAGTCCTCCCCGTCCCCCAGGGCTATAAACGGCCCCTGAGTCAGTTTTCCTCAGAACACGCCACGTAACGCTGACATTTCCATCTCTTCCCGTTAATCCCTTTTTAAAACCCCGCTTCTAGTTAACCAGCTGCTTCTCCCACAGACAGATGCCCACCAAAGGCAGCAAGAAAGAAGCAATAAATAACTGGAGATAACTTTATCTACCCTCAAACCGGGGATCTCCACCCTGCGGGCGGGGGAAGATCAAGGCGTAGCCGCGCACTAAAAAGGGTCAGAAAATAATTGCCCATCGGGTCATTCCATCCACAGGATGTTGGGGAATATCGCCCCGGATCAAAGCACCGATTTCACATTTATACAATATTTACATTTCAATAAGGCCCTGAACATTTCAATAAGGCCTTGAACAAACCCAGGCGCGGGGTTGATGCCCTCCTTGCTTTGCTCCGTGGGATGGCTGAAATGTTTCGTTATTTCCAATGGGATAAGAACTTCCACGGGTGGTTTTTAAGCCCTCAGGGTTGTGCCTTGATTTAAGAGAGGGTTTCGCTTTCCGTGCTCGCCCTCCTGAGATCCTCCGTGCAGAGGGAGGGCTGAAAATGAGGGGATTTGGTTAAAGCCTCCTGTGGATCCCCAATCTGCATGATCCCAGCCCTCTGGGCTCCATTTTGGCCCCCAGACAGTGCCTTTATTCCAGGTTTAGCCAAATTTTACAGCAAAAAAGCCAGATCAGGGCCAACACGGCAACAAACCTGCCCCCAAGGGCAAGGACCTGCAACTCCAAAGCGTGTGAGCATGAGCGGTGCAGATAATGACCATCAATGGGGAAAATCTTTTCTAATGGAAGTTTTTTTTGTGGATGAGGTGCGAAGGGGATGTTTAATCCTCAGGGATGCCGTGGTTTTAAGAGTCAGGGGATTTGGGTGTGGGCGTGATGCCCATCGGTTCACATTGTGGCATTTCGGGGTGGTTTCTGGTGCAGATGGTGAGGGCAAGGCACTCGGCACACCTGAGTGGGGAGACAGGCGAGCTGCTGCTCCCCATCAGTTCCTTCTCGGGCTTGGATGGCTTTTTATTCCACTTGGCAGCAGGAAATAAAAGGTTAGAGGGAATAAAAGCCCCAGGACAGACATCTCTGTTGGCTTCAGGGGAGAAGCCGGGAGGTGACAACCCCTCCAGCGAGCAACTTTGGTGGCTCTCAAGAAATTCAACAAGGGATTTTCTTCTTGATTACAGATCCCTGAACCATTTTCTTACAATCACCCCCCCAATTCCCTTCCGGAGAAGTGTGGTTAATTACTGAGCCCTGCATATGGGCCTGATACGCTGCGTTTGTGTGCGTGTTTGCCCTCACCCTGCCGTTTCACAGGGAAGATAGCACCTTTTGTGTCTTATCTCCTCCAGTTTTCTGCCTCCCTTGTGTCATGTACCATGTCTCCGTGATGGTGATTCAATAAACTGTATTCAAAACCCCATTCCAAGTCAGGTTTCCATGGCATTTCCAGCCTTTGCTGATGATTTGATTTCCCAGACCCCTTGCCCACGCACTCCCAGGGTCTCCCGTGCCCCGAGGGCAGGACAGGAGAACTACAGACCCATGAAATGAGACCACAGCGTTCACCATCCTCCCTTCCCATTCGGTGGGGCTGGATCTGGATGCAGACATGGATTTGGGGAGGAGAACTGCAAAGAAAAAACCCAAGAGAAACCATCTCTGAGGTCGCAGGGTGTGAGTGGGAGAAACTCAAGATGAGCCCAAGGCCAAAGTGCCACCTCTGCAGCCGCAATAAGGGTGGAACAACCTCTGCAGTGCCAGCTCTGCACCTCCTGGGCATAAACTGCTTTTGTCCCATCTCTCCAGCCACCAAACCCCACGGATTTTAAAACCAAGAGCTTGACTGGCCTCATCCAGAAGCTGCGTTGGCCTGAGATGGAGACAGCTCAGTGTCCCACTAACGAGCAAGAGTGAGGCAACGGAGGGAGCATCGGGAAAACCACTCAGGGAAACTCATCTTTCCTGGAAAGGGGAAGGATGGGAACCATCTCCTTTGCCGAGGGGCCCCTCGGTGGCTCCTGCTCTGCGACGAATAGCGCCGTCAGCGCAGATAGAGGAGGGGGTGGACCCCACCATCTATATAAAGCGAACCCGCTAAGCCAGCAGCCTTGGAGCGGCGAGGTCCAGGTGGGGTAAGGAGAGGGGGGATTTATTGCCCTGTTATTTCATCAGATAGCTGGGGGCGAGGCGGTGGGAGGCTGCTGATGGTAAAGTTCTCCATCAGCCCCGGGCAGGACAACCATTGTGTCCCTGTCCATGTGCCTGCTGAGCACCACATCCCAAAATGGGAGTCAAAAGGCCCCATTGGGAGTCAGCTGTGCACACTTGGGCACAGTGACACTCATGTCACAGCACCTCCAGGTGCTGCCAAGGTGCACCCGACCGGCTCCGTGCCCTCCGTGTGTCTGTCCTGCCCCCAGGGTGCTGCTCATCACCCATCGTTGTGCTTTCCTCTTCCAGGGCCAGCCTGAGGATGAAGAATCTCCTCTTTGCCGTGCTCTTGGCTTGCGGTAAGTACTCCAGTTTCACCAGGCCAGGCTGGAATCTCATCTGCCTGGCCAAAAAGACATACAAACTCAGAGTCTTTGGGCACAATTCAGTTTCTTTGTTTAAATTTTGCAGTTTCTCCCTCATGCTTCATGTAGTCCTGGAGGTCTTTGTGACAGCGAGGCTTTGGGATGCTCGGATCCATATGTCTTTTAAGAGGCTCTGGAGCCTGCTGTCACCTGCTTTCCTGTCTGTGCCAAGCCCAGGGCTGATCCTGGCAATGTGGCTGGTTGCAGGATGCCAGCGCGGTGCAGCCTGTACAGAGCACAAATAATATCTGCTACCAGAGTGAATCGGTAGCTGCAGAAACCAGACTTCATCCTGAGGGGTTTTTTGGGGCTTCTTCTCGTGCTTCGCATGCCTGAAAGCATGTGTTTCCAGCAACACCAGGGTTATTTAACTCCTCTGCCTGGTGCAAGGTGTGGGAAATGCTGCCTGCCCCCTCGCTGTGAGCCCGTCCCCTCTGTCCCCCCCCAGTGCTGCTGCTGGCTCGTGGCAGCGTTTTGGAACTGGAGCGGATGATCAGGTCGACCACGGGGAAGAGTGCCCTGCTCTCCTACAGCTGGTACGGCTGTTTCTGCGGCATCGGGGGCAGAGGAACCCCAGTGGACTCCACCGACCTGTGAGTACCTGGAAAAACATCACCACTCACCCCTTCCAGTGCAAGGTGTTGGGGGGTATCCCTAAAAAAACTCCTCACTGGCAGCCTGCCGGCGCTGGTTTTGCACCATCCCCAGCCACATCTTGCTGCTGCCTTGTCATCTCCTCTTCCTGGTCACCTTAAATGTGAGGCTGGACCTTCCTTTATCTTCCCAGTGTGGTGAGGGAGGGTTCGGGGGCAGCGGTTTTGACATGGTGTCCCCTCTGTAGGTGCTGCCATGCCCACGACTGCTGCTACAGGAAGCTGCGAGAGGGCAAGTGCAGCCCCCTGATAACCCCCTACTACTTCGACGTCACCGACGGGGACATCGTCTGCGGTGAGTGACGCTGAGTGGGGGGCTCCCACAAAGGTGGGGAACCAGCACTGCTCCCCAGGACACCCCAGGGTGTCCCCCCTGGGGATGTCACCAGCCTGATGCCCGGCCAAGTGTGTATGATAAATATATGGGCATTGTGAGGGTTGTGGGCAGGTTGGAGAGGGCAAACCCTGGGACACGCTTCTTCATGCGCTTCCCCCAGGCAGCTCCAGGCATCAGGGCTGCTCCAAGGGGACCCCATCACCAATATGGGCTGGAAAGTTAAGCAGGAGTGTTGACTCCCAGGAGGATAGGGAAGCCCTACAGAGGGACCTAGATAGATTGGATCACTGGGCCAAGATCAATGGCATGAGTTTCAACAAGGGCAAGTGCCAGGTCCTGCACTTGGGCCACAACAACCCCCTGCAGCGCTACAGGCTGGGGGAAGTGTGGCTGGAGCTGCCTGGAGGAAAGAGACCTGGGGGTTCTAGTTGACAAACGGCTGAATATGAGCCGGCCGTGTGCCCAGGGGGGCAAGAAAGCCAATGGCATCCTGGCTTGTATCAAAAATAGTGTGACCAGCAGAAGTAGGGAGGTGATTGTGCCCCTGTACTCAGCACTGGGGAGGCCACACCTTGAGTGTTGTGTCCAGTTTTGGGCACCTCAATCCAAGAGAGATCTGGAGGTGCTGGAGCGAGTGCAGAGGAGGGCAACGAAGCTGGTGAGGGGGCTGGAAAACAAATCGTATGAGGAGCGGCTGAGGGAGTTGGGACTGTTTAGTGTGAGGAAGAGGAGGCTGAGGGGAGACCTCATCACTCTCTACAACTTCGTGAAAGGACACTGTAGAGAGGTTGGTGCTGGTCTCTTCTCACAGGGAATTAGTGACAGAACAAGAGGGAATGGCTTCAAGCTCCAACAGGGGAGGTTTAGATTGAACATTAGGAAGGAATTTTTCACCGAAAGAGTGGTCGGGCATTGGAACAGGCTGCCCAGGGAGGGGGTGGAGTCCCCATCCCTGGCTGTGTTTAAGGGCCGTTTAGATGCAGTGCTGAGGGACATGGTGTAGGGGAGGACTTTGTAGAGTAGGGGAGATGGTTGGACTCGATGATCCCAAGGGTCTCTTCCAACCTAGACCATTCTATGATTCTATGAAAAGCCACCCCAGAGCACTGTGTTTTTTCCCCACAGGTAACGAGCAGAGCTGGTGCAAGAGAGAGACCTGCCTATGCGACAAGGCGGTGGCTTCGTGCTTCGCCAGCACTTTGCATTCCTACAATAAATCCTACCGCTTCTATTTCAAGCTGAGATGCCGAGGAAGTAAGCTCCAGTGCTGAAGAGGAGAAATCTGCACCCAAGGTTGCAGATTTTGACTGGTTTTCCCCATCGCTACGGAAACAAAAGCCTGATGAGAGGGAGCTGAGCAGAGCTGGAGAGAGCACAACTCCCTGCACGACGACGCTCAGGGTGAGGAAGGGCACGCACACATTACGGATGGAGATGCCACCAGTTCCCACAAAGACATCAGCTTCCTTGGTTTTTTATCCCTTCCTCCTTTCTTTTCTCTCTCAACTTCATTTCCCAGCCAAGATCATTCAATAAAAGGTATTTGAAATCATTCTCTGTGCTGCTTTTCTGTAAAAGCCACTGAGATTGAGGCGCTGCAACAGTGGCAACCTGGGGAGCACTTTTGCATCTCACCCCTCAGCCACACCACCTGCCTGGCACCCCAATATTTCCATGGGCCCAGTAACAGCCTAAGAAATGAGGACAAGTAAATGCCACCAGGTAAAACTCTGTGGGTTTTGTTAAGAAAATAACTCTCCAGCTGGAAGTTTGGGGTTTTTGGCTTCTCCTGGCACTGCTCCCCCCCCCAGCCTGAACTCACTCCTGGAGCTAAAACACAGCGATGTGTTAAGGGACAGGTTAGATACAGCCAAAAGGTGTTTTTACGTGAATAATGCAAGTGGGGAAATGTAGGAGACGGTTTGAGACTCTCCTCTGACCCCTACTCACATAAAAATGGTGGTCAAAATTAAAGCTAAAGAATAGGAGAGGAGGGAAGATTTCAAAGCCTTGTCCACCCCAAGGCAGATTCTAATTTAGGAGGGCAGTTAAGTTGGTGACTAAGTGGTTTCTCCAGAAGGGAGGAGTTCTGCACAGGGGCTGCAGTGAGGAGGTGGAAATACAGAGATAAATAATAAAGGGAAGTTGCATTCACCCATCCCAAAATACCCATTCCTCTTTCTTCTCCTCTCACAGCGGGCAAGCATTTAATCAGACAGTATCCGCACAACCCCATGTTTCTGGAAACTGCACCTTTAGAGGTGCTTTTATTGGTGTCCTTATACTTTTCCCAAAGAACCAATAACTTGCCCCGAATCCCCATCACCTTTGCAGCATGGCAGAGAGACAGTTCCCAAACTGTATGACCCCTCAAAAAACCCCGAATCTGCTTTGTTCACGGCAACTGGGATCAAAAATCAGCATGGCAGAGAGACAGTTCCCAAACTATATGACCCCTCAAAAAACCCCAAATCTGCTTTGTTCACGGCAACTGGGATCAAAAACGGAATCAAGGCTATTATTTTTTCCCCCCAATATGCACCATGGTACTGGGGAGGGCAGAGAAAAAGGCCCTCAGGTGTCTTCAGCTGGGGACGGAGAGCACTGGCTTCCACCTCTGGCTGGAAATGACGCTGCTTTGTCAGCTCATCCCACCCGGTGCTGGTTCCTGTGCGTGGGCTACGGGGATGGGGGGTTACGGGAGTTTCTCCCATTCCTGTAAAGGGGAAGAAGGCACCTTCTCCTTTGCAGAAATGCCCAGTCAGCAACACTTGGGCAAAACAAGCATTCAGCAGCGGGGAGCAAAGCCTATATAAAGCAAGCCCTGCCAGCTGCAGGGCCCTGCAAGCAAGTGGTGGCTTTCCCCGAGGTAAGTGGGGCTTGGAGGAAGGCTTTTCCTCCCTTTCCTCCTTCCCCTAAAAGCCTGGTGCGAGCCGGGAGCGAGGTCCATGCCAGGAAGGCAGGAGGAAAGGAGAGGCTGCCTGAGATACCAGCCCAGAGGCAGAGCGGTGGGCTGCAGCCCTCGAGGGCTGATCATTCCTCCAACTTTCCTTCCTTCCCCTTCATTTTGCCTTTTTCCACCCTTTCACCATCCGATTCCCACCCCCGAGGCAGCAGTGCTCTGTGCCAAAGCAAGGGGAATGGGTGCATCCTTGCCCCTCTCACCTCCCCCAATTCCTGGAGGTGGGGAGCATCTCTGCCCCACAATGAGGGGGGGAAGTAAAGAAGAAAGTGGTCAATATAATGGGGAAATGGTTTGGTTTCCTCTCCCAGGGCTGTCGGAAAGATGAACTCCCTCCTCGCCTTCGCTGTGCTGTTTGCTTGGGGTAAGTGTCCTCGCTCTCACCGGTCCCACTGCTCTCTGTGCAGTGACAGCCACGGAAATTAGGACCAGGGTGGTGATTTCTTAACCTTTCCCCATCACCACCTCTCCCAAACACACAACAACTCTTCCTGACTAAACTGGGAAGGAGTTTCCTCTCCATTGCATCTATAAGACATCACCAGCTGGGTACAGGTTTGGGGGCAGGAGGGATGGGGATGCCGCTGGGGAGCTGGGTGTCAGGGTGAGCCCCACTGATTTGGGGATGCCGCTGGGGAGCTGGGTGCGGGTACCAGTTTGGGGGCTGGAGGGATGGGGATGCTGCTGGGGAGCTGGGTGTCAGGGTGAGCCCCACTGATTTGGGGATGCCGCTGGGGAGCTGGGTGTCAGGGTGAGCCCCACTGATTTTTCCCCCCAGGTTTGTCCCTGGCTCACGGGGACCTCTGGCAGCTGCAGAAGATGATCACGAAGGCAACGGGGAAAAATGCTTTGCTGCATTACTCCTTCTACGGCTGCTACTGTGGCTTGGGGGGCAAGGGGCAGCCCAAGGATGCCACGGACAGGTGAGCACCTGCTTAAAAATCCCCCTGCCCCAACACATCCTTGCATGGCTTCAAATCTGGGGGGGGGGAGGAGGGGAAAAAACCCAACCCCCAAACCCTTGAGGTCCCGTACAGATGCTGCCAGGTGCATGATGCCTGCTACGACAGCCTCCTGAGCTACGGCTGTGATGCCAAGAAGCAGAACTACCGCTACAGCTGGCACGACAGCAGCCTCGTCTGCCGTAAGTAGGACCCTGGACATGGGGGTGTCACCCCCCCAAAAGCCACGGCTGACCCCAGCCTTCCCTCTGCCAGCTAGACAGGATCCCTGGTGCTCCCAGCTCTCCTGCGAGTGCGACCGCAGCCTGGCGCTCTGCCTGAAGAGAAGCAAACACAGCTACAGCAAACGTTACCTCTTCTACCTCAAGCACCGCTGCCGGTGATGGGAGCTGGGATGTGGCACCGGAGCAGGGGCACGGGTTGCGCATCCGGAACGTCCTACCTCCCTGCCCACACCAACCATGTTAGTGCTGCTGTCCATTTAATCAACGTGCAAATAAACAATGTGCTTAAACCACCCCGGTCCTCTGTTTGCTGCTGCTGGGCAGAAGGAGAAATCTCTGTAAATACTCAAAACGGCATCATCTTCCCCAAACTTTGCAAAAACTCCGTCTTGGCCCCTGCGTCACTCCGCAGCCCACAGGGAAAGAGGAGGGGGGGGGTTTGGCCAGCGAGGGAAGGGGCGTAGCATAAACTGTTTTGGGGACAGACGAGTCATTTCAGAGCTTCCAGTTCGGAGCCCACGGGCCGGACACAGAGAGCAGTGCTCTCCCCGGGAGGACAGGTTGGCAGCGAGGAAGCGGAGCCGGAGCCATCCCCTGGTGAGCGACTCCCACCCTCGCCCCCGCTGCTGCAGAAACAAAAATACAGGGGGGGAGGCACAGGGAGGAGGCAGCAGGGAGGCTGCTTTCTGCTGTTTCCCACGTCTGTAGATAAAGTGTCACTGCTTTCAGGTGAAAACCCAGCTGGGAAGTTGCAGCCCCAGGGGGATGGTGACACTGCCGCTGCAAAGCGGTGCCCTGGGTGCCAGAAGCAGTGGGACAGGAGGTGGGAGATGCTCGGGTGGTGGGAACAGCTCCAGAGAGCGTTTGCTTTTGGCCAAAAGGCAGCAAGACAGAGGCGAGGGGGCACAGCTGGCTTCTTCCCTCCACATTTTGGGGTGATTTGACCTGATTTCAGAGGGACAAGGTTTGCACGGCAGCCTCCTGTTGACTGGCCACGCTGCCTGGCTGAGTCTGTCCTCTCTTTCTCCTCCCAGGCCCAGGTGAGAGGAAGATGAAGGTCCTGCTGACGCTGGCCGTGCTGCTTGCCTACAGTAAGTGCAGCCATTCCCCGACCCACAGACAGGAGCCAGGCTGCAGCCCCACATCAATGTGGGGAGCATCCCCAAACCCTTGCGAATGACACGGGGGGACCCCCCAGCAAAGCCCTCCTCTCCCTCCTGGTTCCCCAGGCCTCATTTCTGCATACAACTTGCAAAAAAAAATCACATTTTCTGGTCACTCCAGGTGTGTTCACGGCTCGTGGGAAGCACCCCCGCGCGTTTGCACCGGGACTGGAGGGAAGCACCGTAGGAAATCTGACTGCCCACAGCTGCTACACCTCGAGGGCTTCAACGGACCGGTACAGGCAACACAGCCCGGGGGTGGCTAACACTGGCCCTGAGATGGCTAGCACTGGCCCTGAGATGGCTAACACTGGCCCCGGGGCAACCCTGGGGCTTGTGGGCAACACAAAATGCAGACCAGGCGATGGGCAGCAGCAGGAAGGGAACAGGTTTCAGGGAACGGGGGAAAGGGAGGCAGTGTTGATCCCTAATTCCCTGTGGCCAGCGGGGTCACGTCAGCAACAACAGGCTGAAGTCACTGGGATGGCACCAGGGGATGGGGACAGTCCCAAAGCTGGGGTGCACAAGGGCTATGAGAGCTGGGCAGGGGCCGTGCGGGGAAGCAGAGAAGAAGCTTGGTGGGGGAACGGGCTAGTAAGAGCGGCTCAAGGGTGATTTAGAGCAGGAGGGGGATGCTGAGGGAGCTGGGGTTGTTCAGCCTGGAGAAGAGGAGGCTCCGGGGAGACCTAATAGCAGCCTTCCAGTACCTGAAGGGAGCTACAGGAAGGCTGGGGAGAACCTGTTTAGAAAGGCCTGCAGTGACAGGACGAGGGGCAATGGCTTCAAGCTGGAGGGGAGCAGATTTAGACTGGAGATGAGGAGAGGGTTCTTCCCTGTGAGGGTGGTGGAGCACTGGAACAGGTTGCTCAGGGAGGTGGTTGAGGCCCCATCCCTGGAGATATTCAAGGAGAGGCTCGACGAGGCCCTGGGCAACCTGGTCTAGTTGGGGGTGTCCCTGCTGACTGCGGGGGCGTCGGACTAGATGGCCTTTGGAGGTCCCTTCCGGCCTGGGCAATTCTATGATTCTATGCTAACGCTGGTGGCTCTTCCCTCCCGGAGTGCAGAGCCTGCTTCAGGTAGTTTTGAAGCTGCTGGTGATATATTTCGGATGAGGTCAGGCTCTTCTTCTCACCGCAGGTGCTGCCGGCTCCGTGCCTGCTGCTACGCCAGGCTGGCTGCACAGCGATGCCGCCCGGGACCGATCCAGCCCATCTCGGTGCCCGGGGCAGGAATCCCCACCTGCAGTGAGTCCCCACCATCGTGGTTTGGGATGCCTCTTTGGTTCCCCTTTTACAGGGCAGAACCCCATCCCAAAAAGATGGTCTCAGAGGTGCTTTCTCTCCCATTCCTGCAGGGTCCGGGACCCGGTGCCAGCGAGGTGCCTGCAGATGTGAGCGGGCAGCCCAGCTCTGCCGGCTGCGTGGACGGGGGATGCCCCGGCGTCGCAGCAAGTGCCAGGGACGAGCCGGGCGGTGTTGAAGCAAAAGGGCTTTTTTTATATATATATATTTTTTTTTTTTTTGCAAAACCACCTCCAAGCTGGGTAAGAAAAGGGACGGAGGAGCGTTTCCCAACTCCTCCTCGGGGCTTTTTTGGCTTCAGCATGAGGACAACAACCCCCTGGTGAAGTTGCGTCACTGTACACTGGATGCGAGGAGGGAGAGCGGCGCAGACACAACGTTTCAGTGCAGAAAAACAAGGGAGGGGTGGCCACCTGCCCCTCGTCCCGGCAAAGAGCGAGGTGGAAACCGGCGCGAGCCTCTTGGCTGACACTCATTTCCCCTTGGCTCCAGCTCCCCGTGCAGTCTGTCAGCTCCCTCTGCTTTTTGCTTCGCTGCAAAATCTCTTCCGTTGCTCCAAAATAAAACCAGAGCGCGCAAAACATCGGGCTTTGGTGTGACGTGACTCAGCTGAGCCCGGCGACCACCCCTCTTAGCTGGGCTTTCCGTTGAAATACCCCCCAGAAAAATGAAGCCTGAGAGGTGATGTGTCTCCTGCCAACGCTCCTCTGCACCCCTGAACTGCCTCCCCCACCTCACTCCAAGCTTTCAGGCTCTGAAAATGTGCAGTTTCTCCAAAATAGAGAAATTAAAGCTGGTGCAAAGGGCCGTGGGACGGCGTGATGCTGTGGGAGGGCCGGGTGCTGGCAACCTTTGCCGCAACAGGGTGGTCGGGAGCTTGCCTCAACGTCCAGCACAGAACAAAACAGATTTCTCACTAGAAAAGAATGTTTTGGCCCAATTCTGCAACAACCCCGAGCACATCCCCTAGGAAAAGGGAGGTCGGGCTGTGGCTGCCTCCTCCCCAGCCACCGTAGCATCCCCACGGTGCAGGTTTACTGCCCCACGGGGCTGACCCCCGGGAGGTCTCAGTGCTGCAAAACCCCGTGGGGCTCAGCAACGAAATAAATCACAGAATCAGCAACGAAATAAATCACAGAATCAGCAATGAAATAAATCACAGAATCAGCAACAAAATGCCATTTTCCCCAGTGCTGATGCCCTGGGCATTGGCAGGTGGAATTCCCATCCTGGCTTGCCCCAGAGCTGAAGCCAACAGCACCAGGAAATATCCCTTAAATGCTTCCCTCCAGCTATGACCCAGGCACCAAACTCTACCATCCTCCTCCTCCAGCAGCGTTTAGTCTTAAGGGAGAGGAGGAAGGAGGGGGCAGCCCCTCGCCCAACAGCTGCTGTTTGCAAGGCATAAATCAAGGATCAAATCCTCGCCGAGAAGGAAGAGGAGCAATCCCACAAACAGACTGCAGGCCAGGGTGAGCCAAAACACACTCTTCCTGTTTAAATTCTGGGTGAATTTTAACTATCTATGTATTTTTCTGCTCAGACACCTGGCTGTACCAATCCTTTCATACAGAGCTCCAAGTGCTGATGTGTTGGCTCAGATATTGCACCCCCCCCAGTACATTGCAATAAATTGGGTTGAAAAAGTTGTGTTTTGTCTATCATGAAAGAGAAAAAAAAATCCACATCCTCCCAAGGGTATGGATTTGACCCCGGGGGGGTGTTATTTCACATTTGGAGAAGGGCTATTGCAAACCTCCTGCGAGCAGAGGAGTTGGGGTGGAGGGTCTTCAACCTGGCAGCTCAACCAGTTCAGTGCACAAAAATATACCTTATTCCCCAGTGACAAAAACTGGACACCGACTCCGAAAATCCTGAATTATCACGGAATCATGGAATTGTCAGAGTTGGAAGGGACCTCTAGAGATCATCTAGTCCAACTCCCCTGCCAAAGCAGGACCACCCAGAGCACATCACTCAGGACTGCATCAAGGTGGGTCTTGAAAACCTCCAGAGAAGGGGACTCCACACCCTCCCTGGGCAGCTTGTCCCAGTGTCACCCTCACCCAAAAAAAGTTCTTCCTCAGATTTGAATGGAACTTCCCATGTTCCAGCTTGTGCCCGTTGCCCCTCGTCCTGTCACTGGGAACCACTGGAAAGAGTCCGGCTCCATCCTCCCTCAACCCACCCTTTAGACACTTGTCAGCATTGATAAGGTCTCCCCTCAGCCTTCTCTTCTCCAGACTAAAGAGTCCCAGCTTTTTGAGCCTTTCCTCATCAGGGAGATGCTCCAATCCCTCCATCATCTCTGTTGCCCTACGCTGGACTCTCTCCAGTAGTTCCCTGTCCCTCTTGAACTGGGGAGCCCAGAACTGGACGCAGGATTCCAGTTGTGGCCTCCCCAGTGCAGAGCAGAGGGGGAGAATGACCCCCCTCCACCTCCTGGCCACACTCTTCCCTACGCAGCCCAGGATCCCATTGGCCTCTTGGCCACAAGGGCCCATTGCTGGCTCCTGGAGAGTTTACTGTCCACCAGGACCCCCAGATCCTTCTCCTCAGAAGTCCTTTCCAGCAGCTCCACCCCTAACCTCTACTGGTGCCTGGGGTTCTTCCTCCCCGGGTGCAGGACCCTACATTTGCTCTTGTTGAACCTCATGAGGTTCCTCTCCACCCAGCTCTCCAGCCTGTCCAGGTCACACTGGATGGCGGCACAGATCTCTGGCCAGCCCTCCCAGTTTGGTTTCATCAGCAAACTTGCTGTCAGCAAGCCCTGTTTCAGCTAATTAACTCACCACCGTCCCAGGGGTCTATTTAAATTGGCCGGAAAAGCTGGTGAGGCAAATGGCACGTGCCAGACAGGAGAAGAGATTTTGCTGAGGCGTTGACCTGAGTTCTCTTGTCTCACCATCTCTCCGATGCCCGCACAAGTCGTACCCTTGTTCCCTGCCTCAGTTTCCCTCTGAGTGATTGGGGGGGAATTCCACTCCCCCAGCCGGGTGCCTGCCCGTGCTGGGGTTCCCTGCAGAGCACTACACGCCTGCAATCTCTGCCGTAAGAAAACCGCCAAAATGATTGTTCAGCATCACCTATTTAACTAAAGATTCTCTCCAAGCACATGACAGAACCATCCCCTTTTTTCACCCTTCCATTATACACCACTTGCATTATTATTTTTTTTTCCTTACTCCGCTGCTTGGTTTTCCTTCTATATAAAGGTGAACCAGACACCTCCTGCAACACTCCGTGAGCGTTGCCTGCTCTGTTTGCACGTGGGCAAAGAGATGGAGCATCCCCATATGAAAGGAGCATCTGGGCACTGACAAGCTCCTGCTAACAAGAAAACCAGCACCCAAGGTCTTTTCTCAATCGTTTTTTAAACCACAGTCTGTTCTGGAGGATCACTGGACCTTCCTCCGCTCACGACGCTGCATCTCACCTGCTCTGGTCAGTCAGAAACAGAAGATGCTTTCCATTGGCCATGTTTTCTCCCCCCCCCAGGTAAGTCATGATGGAAGCAGTGAGATACAGAATGGCATTCTCTAACCAAGACATCAAGAAAATAAGAGTCGTCCAGGAACAAAGTGGTTTCCGTTCTGCCTCAAGTTCTCCCGTTTTGTTCAGGGAGGCATCGGGGTGCTGAGATACCCAGAGCTGTGCACGGACTCAATCCCAGTCTACCCTACTCATCCCAGTCTATTGAACACCCCCCCTCCCAGTGCAGGGCATCCCACAGCTGAAGCCTCCGGCAATGCCAAGAGAGACTCACACATGTAGCAGGACAAATATGGTGAGGATTGTCAATATTTGCCCACTTTGGGATCTTCAAAGGAGGAGCCCTGTCAAGCGGGTACATGGTGGCTATAAAAGGTGCGACTGGTGGCACCTGGGGCTCACCAGACACCGGAGCTGCCACCATCAGACATGAAGCTCTTCTTGCTGCTGCTCTTCTGCTGTGAGTATCCCCCCTGCCAGCTCTCACCCTGCAATTCCTCCCCATAAATGATAAAGCTGGGGAGGGTGAAATGGCTCGGTTTTGCTACTGAGGGGTGGGACAGGAGGTTGCTTTTCCTGATGCTCCTAACCCCCTGTCTCCAGTTGTAGGACTGGCCCCGGCCGGTAGCAACCTGGTTCAGTTTGCTAAAATGATTAAACACGCGACCGGGAAATCGGCATCATCCTATAACGGTTATGGCTGCTACTGTGGCTGGGGGGGATCCAAACAGCCAGTGGATGCCACCGACTGGTAAGTCAGGACTTGGTGAAGGTAGATCAGATGCCCTCAGCCTCCCTCGCCCCCGGTACAGCCAGGGGAATGCTCGCCCCCGCTCCTGGAAGATGAGAGAGCAATGCAAAAATCTTTGCTCACCCTTAATCTTAAAATTTGGTTAACGGCTGTAGGTGATGGGGACAGCACGCATCGGCCTTTATAGAAATAGGCAGAAATGCATCGGGATCCAATCACCACCTGGGCTAATTAAAAACAGCCATTAGGTGTTCTGCAAAGTCACTTCAAAGGAAAGCAATTAGAGCATTGTGCTGACAATGCCAGAAAGGCATGAGTCACTCTCCCTCCTCCAGTGGCACAAGGGCAATGCCGAGGAGAAGGCTGCTACATCTAACCTGGGCACACGTGCAAGATGTTTCTCATGGGGGCTGAGCACCACCAGATGTTCACCACCATGGTATCGTCCCCACCGCTCCCCATCCCGCCTTGACCATAACTCTTGTGCTCCCAGGTGCTGCCATGCCCATGACTGCTGCTACAGGAGGATCTCGTCTGGTTTCTGCAGTCCCAAAGTGGTCAAATACAACTACTCCACCTGGGGAAGCCAAATAACCTGCGGTAAGAGGCGGCACAGGGTCAAATCCCTCAGCGGGAAAGCACAACCATCCATGCTCTCGGGGGGCCTCTCTTCTGAGATGTCCTTTAGACCATCCTGGCATGGAAATCACTTCCTAGGAAGAGGGTAGAAATGAGGGCAAAGTGCCAGGAAAAGGGCAAACATTTCTTTGCTAAGACTATGGTGAAGCCTAGAGCTTGGAGAACTCTCAAAGCTCCCTTCTGTAGGCACCAAATCCTAAGGGTTGGATGTGACCTTCCCATCTTGGATGGAGACCTGGCACTGCTGCCCCCGTTTCCCCAGAGCAAACGCTTATATCATGGCGAGTGGATCAAAACAAACCACTTCCCCAGAATCAAAGCAAATATCTAAACATACTCAGGTCGATAAAGTAAATTAAACGGTCCTTCCAGGGCCATACATTGTGTGTACCTAGGTACCTCCATGCACCAGCGGTGAGGACTCCTCTAGACACTCCAAACTTAACCCCAGACACCCCATACTCAATATGGGGGGGCTGCGTACACCGTGAGGAGGGTCCAAAAGACAACCCCTGCCTCTTGCAGCCTTCACCTGATTCCAGACCCTCCACATTTTCTTCCAGGATCCGGGAGTGCGTGCCAAAGGCAGGCCTGCGAGTGCGACAGGCAGGCAGTAGAGTGTTTCCGAAGGACAGCCAGGAGCTACGACAACCGTTACAAGAATTTCCCCAATATTTTGTGCAAGGGCCGATCTCCTTCCTGCTGAGACACACCAGGCTCAAAACTTGACGGAAACGGTCAAAATTGTGGGGTTTTTGCCTTCCCTGTGGGCAGGCAGGGCACAGCATAGCCCTGCGGCACTCAACAAGGCACCGTTCCCCAGGGCACAGGGAAAACCCACTCCCCACAATTAAATTAACCATAAAACTAAAGGAATCCTTGCAAATAAAAATACATTTTCAAAGGCAATTTGTAAAACGCGTCCAGTGTCATGTTTTGGGAATCGATGGTGGAAGGGGCAGGAAACAGTACGAAGGCTTGGAAACAGCACGAAGCATCAGGGCTGATTTTCTGAGGTAAACATTTATGCATGCACAGAGTTTTCTATCTTTTTCTTAAAATAAGTTTACCAGTAGTGGCATTTCAGCAGCCAACAGGTAAAACTTAAGAGCTTTGGCAAAAATAAAAAAAAGAATCCACAGAAACAGCAAGCGGCTGCTGGGCCCCGACCCCAAACCAGGCCCCAAACTCGGCTCCCCTCAGGGAGCTAGGCCACCACACAGCCCCATCCTGCTCCTAATGACTATTTAAACAATTAATACTCACTAAAGCCACGGGGGAGCATGGTGGTGGTGGTCTCAGGGGGTTGGGGTGGCTCTGTCTTGCACCTCATCTCTCCAGCAGGTTCTGGTTGGGCCTGTCTCCTCAGCAGCAGCCACCTCATCCCTCCCCAGAGCTGCACAGGATCCGCAATTAGCCCTAACGAGGCAGACCCAGCTGCCCCTCACACCTGGGCCTCGATGGAGGCACCTCTGCTTTTAATGGCCATCTCTGGAGATGTGTTCTGCACACCTGCAGGATGAGGGGGGTCCTAAAATCAAGGTGCTTTAAAGGTACTTTCTTTTGAGATGCCCTTCAGCCTTGGTGGCTCCTGCCTGACACCGTTAAGCACTTAATCACAAGCAACAACCCTACCTTCTCCCTTCCCCGCACCTCCTACAGTAAACAGGATATCTTTATAAACCCCAAATTTCTCCTTTTATTCATTTTCTGGTGCCACTCAAGGGATGAGATGAGAGAGCCAGAACGGAGCTGAAGAGGCCGATGCTGCCCTCTAAGGTTTGTGCCTGCAAACAGGCTCCAAACAGCTCCACACCAGCATAAACCATCTCCTTTTCATACAACACTGGATACAAACATGAAGAATGACCCCATTTCCCCCACTTTTAGCAAAGTTCCTGAAGCTCATGAAAGCCAGGAGATGAGTGTACGCCCCACAGCCCGATCGCATCCCCAGGTTGTGCAGAATCGGTAAATTAATCGGTAAATTAATCCACTCGCCCAGCTCAGCTGGCACATCTTTGCCACCTTTATTGCACTCAGAATTGCAAAAAAACCAGAGGTTTGGTTTGGTAGCAGAAGCAGGTGCCCTGCTGAGAGTCCGGAGGGGGAAAGGAAAACTCTCCTGTAGTTTCAACAAACTCCAAGAGAAGAGGAATCCATGAGCACCACAGATGTGGATACCACAGACGACGTGATTTGTGTCCTTCAGGCACCGCAGATGAGGTGAAGCTGTTGTTAAATAAACAAGAAGGAACAGGGTAGACCAGAAAACGGAGCAGCACAAGCAGAAAATCCCTCCTGTAAGGCCAAGCCACGCTCAGGGACAGCAGACAGAACCTGCAGGGGCAGGATTTGGAAAAAATAAGGCTGAGGATGATGATGGTGGTAGACAGGATGCAGGAAAAGTGGCTTTCTATGTTGTCCTGCTGTGTCCTCACCTTGGAAAGGCTGACCCTCCAGCTTGTAACAAACAGTAAATCCTCCTCAAATACCAGGGGAACGCGCGGCGCCTGTTGTCCTATGACGGCATGTTGTGAAGCACAGCTAGCTCCACCAAAGAGTAAACATCAGCTATGAATCATGGTGTTTCTCTGCTCTTGCTTCTCGCCTGCTGAAAGGAAAATCCACCGCCTGTTTACAAAGCAAATGCTCTGCATAGAAGCGAGTTCCCTGAGGAAAGTGGCGCAAGAACTCCCTAGGAAAAACACACACAGTAAGGGCAGGTGGAAATGTCAATAGCCAAAAGAAAAACCTACAACAGACAAAATTAAAGTTTTAACATCTTTGGATACAAGATGTTTTTGCAGGTAACAAAGCCATCCTGGCAAAAATGAAGAGAATTTGATGGGTGTAACAAGACTTAGGGGCCCAGCACTTTAACAGTTTGTTTTAATTGTATTACAGTTGGAAATGCAAGCATTTCCAGCCCCATGCTTGGTTATAGGAATCAGAAGCCGTGAGCTGAAGGTCAGTCTCTCTCTGCTGCTGTGTTGCAGGGCTGCCCCTTTGTCCTGGCCATGGATGAGGTTCTGCTTTGCAGGGCCCTTCACACCTACGGGAGAAGCTCAGCTGGACACAGGACAACTCCCTTCACAGCTCCCCAGGCTTGAAGCAACAACAGTCCTCGTATCAGCTCTGGCTCAGGAAGACAAACGAGCACCTCATTAACATCAAACAACTGCAAATTCTCACTATCTTTTCAAACCTGCAGAACCCACCCAAGCTTTTGAATCCAAACACAGCTGGGCAAGCCAGAGGTGACACGTTTACCTGAACCACTTTGCTGTGCCCACTCTCTTCAACTCATCACACACATGAAGTGACTAACACTTTCTCACAATTAAGCTCTGATTTGCCATTCTTTCCACTAATGTAAAAGTGACAGGGTGGAGAAGAGTCCCAGGACGTAACATTGCAGACAACAGGCTAAAGCTGGCATAAAATGAATTTTACCAGTCATTTTTCACTTTAAGGACAGTACTGTGAATTCAAGGCTCATTCATGCTCTTCCTACCTAGGAAGTACCACTCAAGACTTCCCTCTACAGCGGTTACTCGTGTCTGCTGCTGGCACTTAATGTGCTGCTTCCCTTGCTGGACACTATGTCCCACCACAAAGCATAACAGCTGCTTTGTATTACTTTTTATTTCCACCAAGCTCATTACAGGAACCAAAATAACTTCTTCTGCAGCACTGAAGCCTGTTCTCCTGCACCACCAGTACTTAAAGCAGAACTCCTTTCTTTTTATTCTTTCAATGCACTTGATAAACGGTAGCAGAGCATATGAAGAAATACTAGCTCAGATCTTGGCAGTTCAGTCAAAAGAGGCATTTATACTTCTGTGCTCAGCTTTAAAAAACGCACAGAATTTTTTCAAAAGCAACATTCCTTACTTTCAAACAAATCTATTTTGTGTCTGCTGTGGCTGATGAGGTGTCTCCCGTTATCTATTGTGTGTCTAAGTGCACATGTGCTTTCTTCAAGCTTAGTGGTTTTGGACTCAGGTCCAAAAACCTGAGTGAAGCTGAAATACTGCAAGCCATAAATCGAGGGCCAAGTCCCACAGTCCTTACACTTCAGTCCAAATTCACCATCCTACAGTGGGAAGCACCACAGGATTCAAGCTGTATGTTCTACGGTACTCAGTGACCCTACCAAAGAGGAATTTAAGATGAAAAAATCCTACCTTGGAAAAAGCTTTATTTATGAAGAGTGAAGTAGGCAGGGTTCCTAGTGATCACTGCTACTTGGAAGCTTGTTCCCAGGACTCTTGATCCCTTGACTATATTAATTTCATTTGGAGACAAACAACTACCAAGTTCCTGGCTTGGACTAAAGCTCTGGAATAGCCCAAAAGCTTCAGAGTTTGGCAAAGGAGATAAAATTCCAGATGTCCAAGTAACAACACTCAACACAAGTCTCACGCCTGCTCATGTCACATTTTACTACTTCATTAGATCCCACCAGATCAGATTAATCAGCTCTGGGGTCTCATGAGTCATTATCATTTCTTTTTCTTTAAAGGTCTCAACAGGTAGCAAGCGAGCTGATCTCACACTTAAGCAAGAAGCAAGTGTGAACGCAGGAATTCTGTTCTCCCTTCATGTATTAATCCCTTCTGAAACAGCCCAGTGCAACACAAACAGTTCCAGTGAGATTAAAACTGGTCACTGAGCTCCTGCATGGGAAAGAAAGGAGGAGCATCATGTTTGATGCACCTCGCTCTGGAAAGGATTCTGGGATTGTGTTGCCTTACTTTAATTTAAAGAGAAAAAAAAAAAAACAAAACCGTGTTCCTGAGTTGAGAACTGTTGAGCTTTCCCTGACAGTGAGGCAAAATAAAGCCCCTCCAAGCACAGACAAGTTAAAAGTTGCTATAAGAAAATAAAATAATCTCAGCATGTCAAGAGATCTCAAAGCAGATCTGACACTGCCGTGTGAAGAAAAGGTTCTCACCTTCATCTAACTCCAAACTTACACAAACAAGTCTCTACTTTTTGTTAAGTTCAAGCAACTCTTCTCACGCACAGGCTGATGCAGAATTACTGAATAATTGTTTGCCCCAAAGATGAAGAAACGGGACTTTTGGGAGTGCTTAGAGATCTCCGCAGAAATGGATGCTTGGAAATTCGCGTAAGGGGAATTTGGTCTTCATCAGTTTTATTTGCTTTCCTCACCAGAGCACTCAGAACACGTTCAGTCATATGTTTAGAGCTGCCGTGGCCTTCACCAAGGTGATGTGGTTGTTTGAGTCCGTCTCTCTCCCCCTGCTGTCTGCACTGTCACTCTTGTTGGCCAAGACCTTCTGTCGGTGCCTTTCTTCCTGCCGCTTCTTCTTCTCCAGCCGCTGCTGTTCCTTCTTTTGCTTTTTAGACACCTGAAATGGGAAGGATGAAAACACGAAGTTGAAAACACACGTTTTCTGCTCAGTTGGAGAAAAATAATGCGCTGGAGAGGAGACAAGCAGATATCAAAGCAGATGCCAGAGAATGTTTATTCCAAACAACTTATCGGGACTTTATTTTGTGTCATTTTGGGACGAGTGCCACATGTCACTAATAAATGTTTGTATCAGAGAAGTCACAGCTGTAGCAGCAACAAAATCTGGTAAGCGGACACTCTTCTTGATTCAAAAGAGAAGACAGTTGCTGATTAAGCAATCCTAAGCATTCCCCTAATCGTTAAAGGATGTGTAAATCACTGCCAAACCACCCTTCACATACCTTTGTGCTTCTGCTAGCTCGATTCTCTTCATTGGATCTAGCTTGTCCTTTGTTGTTGTCTATCTCATCTTGATCCAAGCTCTGATTTCCACAGATTCTTGAACCAGTTCCATTTTCTTCCTGCGGAGTTCTGCTACACCATTTCTCATCTCTGCTCTGGGGATCGCACTGCTCCTCGGTACCTACCAACAACAGAGGTTTCTCTCAGGCACACTCTACCCAGAAGCTGCCTCAGCATCAAATAATTCCTTCTTCCAGGATATGTGCAACAGTGGGGTTTTTTGGAAGCTGGATTGAATCTGCCCTCACTAACAACCTTCCTGAGCACAGAAAGGCTGCAGCAGCAGCACGGCCAACAGCAAGCTTCAACTGCTACTGTCCCTGTTGAACAGTTGTTTAGAGTGAACACTAACGTCAGACAGCATTCTCCTGAAGCACTAGGTAACCAACTCTTACTTACTGATTCTTTCCACTTCAATCGCTTGAAAGACAGCAAATATTGCAGATTCTATGTTGTAGTCTTCCACTTCCAGAATCCGGCTTACTAAATCAATGTCCTGTCCACCAGAGGAGAGAGATAACACTGAGGAGAGTTCAATCCACTGACATACGTTCATTTAACAACCATCTGCACCACTGAGAGAGTGGTCTGCTTTTATCACCTTTCACACACACACAGAATCACCCAGAATGATATGGGGTTGGAAGGGACCTCCGGAGATCCTCTAGTCCAACCCCCTCCTGAAGCAGGTCCACCCAGAGCAGGTCCCACAGGAACGTGTCCAGGCAGGGTTGGAATGTCTCCAGAGAAGGAGACTCCACCTCCTCTCTGGGCAGCCTCTGCCAGGGCTCTGCCGCCCTCACAGCAAAGAAGTTCCTCCTCTTGTTTAGATGGAACTTCTTATATTCAAGTTTGTGCCTGTTCCCTCTTGTCCTGTCCCTGGGCACCACTGGAAAAAGACCAGCCCCATCCTCCTGCCGCCCTCCCTGGAAGGATTTAGAGGAGTAGATCAGATCCCCCCTCAGTCTGCTCTCCTCCAGACCGAACAGACCCAAGTCCTTCAGCCTCTCCTCATAAGAGAGGTGCTCCGGGCACCTCAGCATCTTTGTAGCCTCTGCTGGACCCTCTCCAGCAGTTCCCTGTCCTTCTGGAACTGGGAAGCCCAGAACTGGTCCCAGTGCTCCACATGGGGCCTCCCCAGAGCAGAGGGGCAGTATGATCTCCCTCCAGCTGCTGCTCACACTCTTCCTCATGTCCCCCAGGACTCCCAGGTCTTTTTCCTCAGAGCTGCTCTCCAACAGGTCCACCCCAACCTGTCCTGGTGCAGGGGGTTATTCCTCCCCAGGTGCAGCACCCTGCACTTGCCCTTGTTGAATTTCATCAGGTTCCTCTCTGCCCAACCCTCCAGCCTGTCCAGATCTAGCCTCTGTTCCATTTCTGATAAAAGTGAGGGAGAAAACCTTAACATTCTGAAGATATGAGGAAAAGGGAATGTGCTGTTTCACTCTTGTCTCTTTCTGTTCTATGCATCTGCACAGCACAAGCAGCAACCTGCAAGAGCCACCCAGGCCATCCAGTGACAGCAGCTAAGATGCACAGAGTATCCAGTCATTTGGGATGTTCAACTACACACACCCTCAAAGGATTTCAAATTTTACAGAATTTGTTTCAGAGTAAATTTCCTGAGAAGACAAACCTTCCAGAATTATACACACAGAGTATGTATTTCATCTACATTTAAGGGCTGACTCTAGGATGAAAACTATCCTGATCTGTGACTGTGGTACTGAAACTGTCCAAGAACAGTTCTCTTCAGAATTTTTTTCCAAGGCTACTTTAATGTATCAAGGTCTGAACATTAAGCATAAAAAGGCTACTCAATACTTACTGAGCATCCAGTTGCATTACACACTTTTCGTACAGCATCTTCCATTTCATCTTCAATCTCATCTTCAGAGTCACCCTTCTGCAGCTTCACTTCCTCCTCCTTATTCAAATCATTTTTGCAAAGCATCTGCAAGAAAAGCAAAGCCCAGCACATCACACAGGCACATGCAGCAACTTCATCATATGCAGTTAAAAAAAAAAGCATCTGTCATGATAATAAATTTAATTCTCATGGCATGCTTGTCTCACAAATATCCTGTGTCAAAGCATCTTGGAAATTGAGTCACTTCCATCATCTTTGACGCCATCTCCCACGACTGATACACTACTGAGCAAACTCTCACTGCAAGATCATACACACCAATAAATAATCACTGGCTTTTGAAGTGAGGTATTATATTTTTTTACAATGCCACGCATTATACAGTTGTGTGCAGAGAACTTCAAGAAAATCACATCTTACTCCTTAACACGAAAAAGTGAGACATGAAAATGATTTTTGTATCCAGCTGTTGCATTTCCAACTCTTTCCTCCCTTCCCTTTGTTTTTCCATCCAAGGTGTGAGAGTATGTAATTTAGGCAGGGTTGCTTCAAGACATTTACAGCCCACATCCCAGCGTCCGATTTGGGATTGATTTTCAGCCCAGTAACTCAAACACCTGGAACACCCAGCCTGTCTCCAGGGAGCAGGCAGCACTAGTTACAATGACCTCAGGGGCTCTTCTCTCCCCAGCACAACACAAGGACCAAACTCTTTTCTCAGTCTCAATGGAAATGAGCAAGGAAATCAACTGGTAACATTCATCTGTTTTATTTATCACCCGAAGCTGACTCGGGTCATTCTGTTGTAACCAACCTCCATCTGAAGATAGGCTGGAGCTTCAGAATCATCATTGATTCTCCTCACGCTGTCGTAGTGCTCTCCGTAACGATACGCGATGTGAAGTTCCCTCACGTTGTTTTTGTCTGTGCCCCGAATCTAAGTCAAACACATAAATCACAAATGAGGATTTGGAATCAAATTCAGCATTGTTATTTTTCAAAGTATTATTTTTTTTGAAGTAACGATAAACACTGTGATGGAAAGCACAGTATGTAGCTATTGAAGCATCTTTGAACATGAAGAGCTGATCTAATAATAATCCAGATGTGCTTAAGTAAAAGCAGAGCTTCTGCCTCAGGTTTGAAAACCGGATACACAACCTCCGTCAGTTACATCGTAATAAACAAAACATGGTATGAAAATATTTCAGTGCAAAGCTCAAAACTATTTTCTAAACTTTCCAAAAGAGCTATTAGTTTTCTGATCGTCTTCTGAGACCCAATTTGTGACAGCTCCCATTCAGGGTACAACGCCTTTTCCTCTCAAACATAAGGAAAAAAAGAGTCCGTTCAAGTTATGACCACAGTGGAAACAGTCACCAGAGTAAATTTTGTTCTGCAGCGGGGACAAGATGCTGTTTATCAGTTGGCATTCGCCAGCTCCCATTCAGGGTACAATGCTTTTTCCTCTCAAAAAAAAAAAAGGAGGAAAAAAAGAGTCACAGCTCCCATTCAGGGTACAACGCCTTTTCCTCTCAAACATAAGGAAAAAAAGAGTCCGTTCAAGTTATGACCACAGTGGAAACAGTCACCAGAGTAAATTTTGTTCTGCAGCGGGGACAAGATGCTGTTTATCAGTTGGCATTCGAAGTGGATATGTTTTGTTTTTAAAAGAAAGACTAATAGAAATAAAGCCAAACGATGAAAATGTATTAACTCCGTTCAAGAGCACCGTTAACAACCGAACGTTCTTTTGCTTTGTCAGCACCAAATCCAGCACTTTCCATAGAAACTTCCTGCTCTGAGCCTTATCTGTACTGATGCAAGAGTAATTCCTACCCTGATCATCAGTGTCTCCAACTATTAGCTGAAGGCTACACAGCATTCCAGCTCTTGCAAGGAACGCAGAAAATTACACTGCATTTGCAGATCTCCTTTGCTTACCCGTCACCTCAGGGTTCAAAGATCTGACAGCTTGCCCGGAGAAGACGTCAGCAAGCAAACGACAAGAAATGCTTGCTTCAGGGCTCCAGAATTTCCCAATCCTTTGACGTCTTAGCCCAATTTACAGAATACACACCAAGTCACCTTTCAACCACGTCTGCAGTCTGTGTTGCGCTAATGACTTCGGATTTCATCACAGATATTCTCCATTCCTCTACTTTACACTTGTTCACCTTTAAGTTCCAACCCAACACTTGGTTATACTTAACTCCTGCCTGTTATCCTATTAAGTTATTCAACATGTTGGAACTCGGTTAAGATTTATTTTCAACATTTCTCCTCTGCCAGAGCCTAAATAGGCATTTAACAAATCCCAAAGCTCTTGAAAGATTATTCTGAAAATTGGCCAATTTAGCTTTCAGTAGTGAAGCCTCTTTTTGGCTGCGCTTTCCTCAATACACTGGAACTGTAAGTAAAAGATAGCTGCAGATTAAAAAAAAAAAAAGGCAAGATTGCTGAAAAAAAGGTAAGCAGGTATCCAAAATGCCAATAAAATAACTTGCACATCTGAGCTAACTTGAAGCTCTATATTTACAGTCACTATCAAAAATGGTAAAGGATGTTTAAAGCCCTAAAAAGTCGCTGGAGAGCCAGCCACCTCCAAAGAGCTTTTGATTAGGCCAGAGCTCGAGAAACAGCTGGAGGTCCTGAACACTGCTGCTCACATTTTTCCAGCTTAACTGCAGCGTATAGAAATGATTCTGTTAAAATTAATGCATAACTCACCATCTGCTTTAGAGTTGAGACCAAAGGAGATATTCACACCATCTGCTTTAAACATCTTGCTGATCTGCCTCTCAGGAAATGCTCTCTCTGGAATCTAATCTGAAATTTTAGATTTGGAGCTGGGGTTCCAAAGTAGAGGGGGGGGGAAACTATGTAGATGTATAGAAAATTAAGAGTGTCCCGGGTTAGTCAAGTCTAGAAAATTCCTAACACTGTCACCGTGCTGTGATCCCCTACATTATTTGATGCCCTGATGTATCCTCTGTGTTTGTCAGGGACTCCTTACGTTACAGCTATTAACAGATCTCTTTACTTACGCCATTCCCAAGGGCCTAAGACAATCCCTCACTAACAAGACTACACCCAGGCAAAACAGAACCTCATCACAAACTCTGTATTTACAGCCCTGGGAAGGTCAATGAATACGGAAAAAGAGTTTGAGGTTTTTGAGAGGATACACAAAATATCGATAAGAGGTAAGGACACGGAGGTGAGCATCCGGTTCAAAACAGTAACACAACACACACAGAGCCCCCATGAACTCTCCTGCAGGGTCATTCCCTCTGTACGCCCTCGCAGGTCAAGCAGTTGAGTATTCCCACTCATTTGTGTCATTGTCAGCTATACTTTTTGTTTAAATATGCAGCTTAGCTGTCTTAAAGCCCATGGCTGCCATATAAATACGAGCTCAAACTTGTTTGTGTTCAGGAATCCACCTGACACCCTTTCAAATGTATTTAAGACACCACTGACAGCTTTCATCTGGTCTTTTATCTTTATTGCCTTGTTTAATCTATATACTTCATTGGTTCTGTCTGTAAATTGGGGCTAGAAACAATTCTGACTTGAATACAGGTTCTCACTTGCTCAATGAAGAGGCAGATATCGAGCCTGAACTCATTCCACAGAATAACAACAAAAAATAGAGCAGAAGGGACCCGATGGATAATTTGTTCCAGTGCCCCACTGTCAGGGTAAACAATACTCAGTCCTTTCCAAAAGCTCATTTAACATCACCATAAGGTTTTAAAACTCCTTCCCTCTTCTTCTGCCCAGTCCAGAACCTCTCCAACCGTCAGAAACCTCCTCATTCCAAATCCCAGGCAGAACTGATGGATCTTCATTCCAGCACACTGCAGGGACTGCCCTGCTGGACCTTCACCTCCATATTCCTGAACCTTATCGTACAGGTTTCCTCAAGCCTGGCTGAAATTCCTATGGGAAAAGCCACCTCATATGTGGTCTGATCTTCAGGAGAGAGGAATGCATCTATGAAGCTAGTAGCTTCAAACCAAACTAAAGCATGCTGCTTTGTCTCTGTGTATTTATCTTTCATGCATTCCTTGTTTTCTTTCATTCTCTCCCCTCCTGGATGAAATCTGGAGTGTTTTCCTTCCAGGCTGACAAAGCAAGCACAGCTCTACACCGTCTCCAGCTCACTACAGCTACCATCTGCTCTCTTTTAATAGATCAGCAAGTTTCAACACCACTTGTATTCATCAGCTAAAAGTTAGGCCAAAATACAGAGTTTTTGTTTCTCACCTGCCACAGCAGAGCATTAAGCTGATGAATCACCACATTCAACTGATTGTTCCTCGCAAAGGCCACAATAGCATCATTGCCAGCAAAGGTACCAGGCTTTGCCAAGTTGGTAACTACAGGAAAAAAAAACACATTCAGAAGAGTTGGAAACTTAGTTTCTGACACTTCCAAAAGCACCGGAGGGATAGCAAGTAACAAAATTTCCAGCACAAGCTCAAAAAATTCTGGAAAGGAAATCCCAGCTGTGAAATAGTGACTGTTGAGGCAAGAATTTGGCAGCAGCAGAAGTTAATGTGTCTTTAATGACCACAGAAACCTCCAAAAAACGCAGTACACCCTTCGATTATGCACGGCCCTCAGCTCCGCGTTAGCTCGGACGGAAGAGAGCCATGTACTAAATAACCAAACCACTTTCATGCATCACCTGCGTGGTACTTGGCAGCAGAACAAAGGCTGCATTGCTCTCTGCTTTGGATCTTCCCCTGGTTTACCACAAAATATCCAAGGTCAAGCAGAAAAAGAAACCCACTCAACACCCACCAGTTTCCAAGGAGAGCTAGGTAACTTTTGCAAGTTCCTTTTGAAAACACCATTTTTTTTGCTTCTTGCTTTTTTTTGCCTCTCCTAAGTTTCCCCTAAATTTAAACAATATCCAAGACAAACGTAATACAAGTTTTATAGCTCATCTTTCTACAGAAACATAACAGAGAGAAATGTGTACCCACAGTTTCTAAAAACCAGAGAGAATCAGAGAATCATAGAATGGTTTGGGTTGGAAGGGACCTCAAAGATCATCGAGTTCCACCCCCCCTGCCATGGGCAGGGACACGTCCCAACAGTGCAGCTTGCTCAAGGCCCCATCCCTGAATCTTTTTTCTTCCAATTTAAAACCGTTTCCCCTTGTCCTATCATTACCCTTCCTGGCAAAGAGTCCCTCCCCAGCTCTTCTATAGGCACCCTTCAGGTATTGAAAGGCCGCTATAAGGTCTCCCCGGAGCCTCCTCTTCTCCAGGCTGAACAACCCCAGCTCCCTCAGCCTGTCTTCATAGGAGAGGTGCTCCATCCCTCTGATCATCTTCGTGGCCCTCCACTGCACCTGTTCCAGCTGGTCCATGTCCTTTCTGTGTTGAGGACTCCAAAGCTGGACACAGTATTCCAGGTGGAGGAACTCTAACAGTTCTGGGATGAGGAACCGCTTAGTACGAAGGCGCTCAAATGAAATGTAAATCACATTACACAAAAACCCTTCCATTAGTGCACTACAGAGGCCATACCGTGTTTCTCAAAGGGCACATCATCCTCCACAAAAGGCTCAAAATCCTCTCGCTGTTTTATCATGTAATCCACTGTTTCCTGGCGATGTCTGAGGTGGTTCCGCGAGTGCCCCTCCAGCTGGTCCCCCAGCGCCCGGAACAAACAATTGCTACCGAAAGAAAAAATGCAAGTTAGTGTGTCTGAAAGGCAGCCAACAGATACACCATGAAACCAGTCACTGGTGTAGCTGCAGAAAGAATACGGTGTTAACGGGAAAGGAAAAGACTAGTAAGTTCAATAAGGATATTAATTTAATGGTTTTAAATTGGAAAAGAGGAGATTTAGATTAGATACCAGAAAGAAATTCTTCACTGTGAGGGTGGTGAGAGCCTGGCCCAGGTTGCCCAGAGAAGCTGTGGCTGCCCCATCCCTGGAGGGGTTCAAGGGCAGGCTGGAGGGGGCTTGGAGCAACCTGGTGTGGTGGGAGGTGTCCCTGCCCAGGGCAGGGGGGTGGAACTTGATGATCTTTAAGGTCCCTTCCAACTCTAACAAGTCTATGATTCTATGAATGTGAAGCAGCACCTATTCCCTGTGCTTTGAACGGCTGCTAAAATGAGAAATACTGGTAGGAACATGAGGTTGTGGGTGAACATGTCAGCAGCTCCAACAGAGTAAGTCAAGGGCGGCAGCAGCCCTGGGCCAGACTTCTTAAACTGACACTGAGGGAGATGACATCATGCAGCAAAGGACAACCCAATGATCTACCAAACAATTTCTCAAGAAACATGTCTAATTCTTCTTTCAGTGCTTAATAATAATTTCATGGCAACCTGGGCCAGGCTCTCACCACCCTAATGCTTAATAATAATTTCATGGCAGCCTGGGCCAGGCTCTCACCACCCTCACAGCAACGAATTTCTTTCTGGTATCTAATCTAAATCTCCCCTCTTCCAATTTCAAACCGTTACCACTTGTCCTGTCACTACACTTCCTGACAAAGAGTTCCTCCCCAGCTCTCCTGTAGCCCCTTCAGATATTGAAAGTCCACTATAAGGTCTCCCTGGAGCCTTCTCTTCTCCAGGCTGAGCAACCCCAGCTCTCTCAGCCTGTCCTCACAGCAGAGGTGCTCCAACCCTCTCATCATCTCTGTGGCCCTTTGCTGGACCCATTCCAACAGGTCCATGTCTTTCCTATGTTGAGGACTCCAGAGCTGTAGACAGTACTCCAGGTGGAGTCTGTTATTTATTAATATTAATTTCTATTAATACTTAATAATAATTCCAATACTTATGGACCTGCACAGTACTCCAGCTGGAATCTGTTATTTATTAATTTCTATTAATATTTAATAATAATTCCAATACTTATGGACCTGCTGGGTGGTTCCAGCAGCCCGGTGAAGCCCTCGGTCCCCCTGGGGATCAGGCCTGGGCCTAGCAGAGCCCTCAGCTCCAGGGGACACAGGCCCCGCACAACCACAGAGCCCCTTGATGGGGTACAGGGGGGAAGCCCTTATCCCTGCAAAGCGCTGGCCCCGCTCAACCCCGAGGGGAAAGCCCTCAGCCTCCAGTTACACCGGCTCCCCCACACCCGGGGGTGCCCTCAGCCCCTGGGGATAGGAGGCCCCAGCGTTATCACCGTCCCCGGTGGTTGCTGAGGACACCCGGCGCGGCGCTCACCCATCGCCCGGTACCTCCCGCAGCTTGAGACCGAGAGCCCGGAGCTGCCCGGCGAGACCCAAGCCGGTGCCGGGAGTGGGTCCTGCGGTGGGCTGCCGGTTCCGCCGCCCCTTCTTGGCGCCGGCGGGCGGCCGGGCCTTGGCCGCCTGTTTGCGGGACATCCCCCGCCGGGCGCCCGGCGGCGCCTCTCACGTGACCGCGCCACCATCGAGAGAGGCACCAGAGCGGCCCTCGGCGGCGCCGCTCTACCCCCGCGCCTCTCTATGGTGTGTCCTCCCGCACATCCCGCCAGGTGGCAGCAGCGGAGCGGGGCTGGAGCCGCCGCAATGGGAATGGTGGGATCAGGGAAAGACCCTTGGGATAGAATCATAAATCATAGAATCATAGAATGGTTTGGGTTGGAAGGGACCTCAAAGATCATCGAGTTCCAAACCCCTGCCCTGGGTAGGGACACCTCCCACCAGACCAGGTTGCTCAAGGCCCCATCCAGCCTGGCCTTGAACCCCTCCAGGGATGGGGCAGCCACAACTCCCCTGGGCAACCTGTTCCAGTGTCTCACCACCCTCAGAGTAAAAAATTTCTTCCTGAGATCTAATCTGAATCTTTTTTCTTCCCTCTGCTCTGCTCTGGTGAGACTCCACCTGGAGCACTGTGTCCAGCTCTGGAGTCCTCAACACAGAAAGGACATGGACCGGCTGGAACAGGTCCAGCGCAGGGCCACGAAGATGCTCAGAGAGATGGAGCCCCTCTGCTGTGAGGACAGGCTGAGGGAGCTGGGATTGTTCAGCCTGGAGAAGAGAAGGCTCCGGGAAGACCTTATAGTGGACTTTCAATATCTGAAGGGGCTCCAGGAGAGCTGGGGAGGGACTCTTTGTCAGGAAGTGCAGTGACAGGACAAGGGGTAACGGTTTTAAACTGGAAGAGGGGAGATTTAGATTAGATACCAGAAATTCATTCTTCACTGTGAGGGTGGTGAGAGCCTGGCCCAGGTTGCCCAGAGAAGCTGTGGCTGCCCCATCCCTGGAGGGGTTCGAGGCCAGGTTGGATGGGGCTTGGAGCAACCTGCTCTGGTGGGAAGTGTCCCTGCCCAGGACAGGGGGGTTGGAAGTAGATGATCTTTAAGGTCCCTTCCACCTCTAACCACTCTATGATTCTATGATTAAGTATCTCAGCCTTCTCCTCATCCATAGTTGCAAAGTTCCCCCCGACATCCAGTAAGGGATGGAGATTCTCCCCAACTCTCCTTTTGTCAATGTATTTATAAAATCTTTTTTTGTTGTCCGTTACATTAATGGCCAGGTTGAGTTCCAGCTGGGCTTTTGCCTTCCTAACTTGTTCTCTGTATTAACGACATGTCGCGGGTGGGACACCCTAAACCTTCCTCTCCTAAAGCCCCAGGCACCGAGGGAGACTTTGAAACACAGAGTGGGGCTGGAGAAATGGGGCACAGTCAGAAAACAACAACCGGTAGCACATTCCTTTAAGTTCCTCTGGTCCAGACTGACAATGTCCCAGACAGACCCCCGGGGACTGTCACCTGCGTTGGGTGGTGGGTGGTTCACACACCGTGCTCAAAGCCCTACAACAAGCGAGGATTTCACTCTTCTGCTCCTTTATATCCATTTCCTGCCATAAATGGGTCCGTAAGAAGCATTTCACAGAAACACATTTTCTTGCGCAAACACAGTAAAAGCAGGAAAACGGGCAAATGATTAATGAAGCTGTAATTAGCTTAAGCAGCACCAAGGGGCAACAGGCAATTCGGTTGAGCACAACCCGTGTGGAGGCCAGCCAACAGCGCTCGTGATGCCAAGGACAAAACTGAGTCAAAACTGGGGGCAGGTCCTTGGGCACCCAGTGGAAAATGTCATCAAAGTACCTTTTTTAACCCAAAACGACTGGTAAAAGCCAGGCAGGGAACCCACACTCAACAGAGATGAACCTGATGAAGTTCAACAAGTGCAGGGTGCTGCACCTGGGGAGGAATAACACCTCCTGCACCAGGACAGGTTGGGGAGACCTGCTGGAGAGCAGCTCTGAGGAGAAGGATCTGGGGGTCCTAGTGGCCAACAGGATGCCCGTGAGCCACAATGGGCCCTGGTGGCCAAGAAGGCCAATGGCATCCTGGGGGGCATCAGGAAGAGTGTGAGCAGCAGGTGGAGGGAGGTCATCCTGCCCCTCTGCTCTGCCCTGGGGAGGCCCAGCTGGAGCACTGGGACCAGTTCTGGGCTGCCCAGTTCCAGAAGGACAGGGAACTGCTGGAGAGGGTCCAGCAGAGGCTACAAAGATGCTGAGGGGCCTGGAGCATCTCTCTTAACGAGGAGAGGCTGAGGGACTTGGGTCTGTTTAGTCTGGAGAAGAGAAGGCTGAGGGGGGATCTGATCAACACCTCTAAATCCTTCCAGGGTGGGTGTCAGGAGGATGGGGCCAGGCTTTTTCCAGTGGTGCCCAGGGACAGGACAAGAGTTAACTCATCTCCTTCTCTAGAGACATTCAAAACTCCCCCTGGACAAGTTCCTGTGGGACCTGCTCTTCTGGGTGGACCTGCTTCAGAAGGAGACTGGACTAGATGATCTCTGGAGGTCCCTTCCAACCCCATGTGATTCTGTGGTTCTGTGACTGCAACGCGGTGGAAAGGCACACAAATGTCACTGCCACCCGCTGCCAGAAGCCAAGGTAGGCAGACATTCATCTCACCAGATTTTAAACCAAAATATTTGAGTTTGGAGCATTGTCGCCCCCCCAGTGTTTGCTCCAGCCCCTCAACACCCACAAGCCAGTTTTGCTCCATTGCAGAGATTAAAAGTCTGTAAATCTTAAGATATTTTGGACATGGGAAGTCACGGGCTAAATTTGGAATTTCTAAAGCACCGTAAAAATGGCAGGTTTGTCCTCTTTTCCTGCATCTTTTCTTTACAACAGTGTTAACTTACTAATACTGAGGTGTGTGAACTGCAAGAGAAAATTATCTGATTTTTAAACATAAAACCCGTTTCCAGACATTCTTGCAATTCAACCGTGCATCCCACGGGAAGACCTTCAGGCTCCTGAAACGTGGGGTGACCCAAAAGTCCCTCAGACACCGCCGGACGCCACCTCAGCAGGAACGTCAAGACGCTTCCACAAACTTTGCTTCCAACAAACCTCCTCCTCTTTCTCAGCAAAGAAGAACAAGAAGCTCTTCTCACCCCGTCCTCCCCACCACCGAGTTCAGGAGATTAAAGTCTTCCTGAACTCCTTGCTGTCCCGAATTGGGGTTGTTTCACGGGTTTCTGTTGAAGGGAGGGGCGGTACAGGACAGCGCAGACAGCCGGAGCGTTCCGGTGCATTTGAGGCAACCGACTCGGTACTCCGTGTCTTCTGACGGTAATGCTGAGCTGGCCCAACTTTCTGGGATGATGACCCTTCCTGCTCTACCTTCTCCCCCTCCACTGAGAAGCCATAGCTATTTTATCCCTCAAATAAAAAGGTAGAGAGAAATTAAAGAGCGAGGGATTCATTCAGGCGTTTACTTTTCACAAAATTCACAAAAGCACCCAACAAGGTGTTCCTGAGCGCATGAGGTTGTCCTCCAAATGCCAAGAAAAAGATGGTCCCACCAAGTGTCCTGGTTTGAACCACACAGAACTGATTTCTCTTCTAACCCTGGGGAAAACTGCACTTTTAGAAGACTCTGGTGCCTGAATTAATGAAAATCTTTACTTTACAGCCAGCTCTGGTGCGGGGGTCTCGAGGTCTCGGTGTTTTTGAGCTCCCCAGGTGCAGGGATGAGGAGGAGTGAGACCCAGGCACTTGACCCAAGCTGCCAACAGGGTTATTTCATAACATGAACAGCCTATTTAATATAAATTAGAAAGTTTGCTGAGGAGTTCTCTCTCTCGCCTGATGCTGATGGGGCAGGGAACTCCTTGCCCTGAGCCCTTCCCTTCCTCCCAAAGCTGCAGCGCTTGCAGGGTCCCACACGGGCTGTTCCTGCTGGGAGGGCACAGCTTCCTGGGCTGGAATGGGCTGGGGATAGTCCTGGTGTGTTTTATATCAGTATTGGGATCAAAACTGGTTCTTTAGCATTATTAACATTGATTACCTAGTCTTATTCTTTTAAATCTCTTTCTATTTCAACCCTCAGGTTTCCTTGTTTTCCCCGATTCCCCCTCCCAGGTGGGGACGGGTCCTTGGGTGAGAGAATAATTGTCTAAACGACACTAGATTGTTCTGGGTTCCTCAAACCATTGCACCAAGACACTAACCTTGCTTTTAATTTCCAGATCTCTCCCGTGGACCCTCTGAGACCCTATGTTGGCGATCCTGAAAACTCCTTGCCCTGAGCCCTTCCCTTCCTCCCGAAGCCGCAGCACCCACAGGGTCCCAGACGGGCTGTTCCTGCTGGGAGGGCACAGCTTCTGCTGGGGAATGGGCTGGGGATAGTCCTGGTGTGTTTTATATCAGTATTGGGATCAAAACTGGTTCTTTAGCATTATTAACATTGATTACCTAGTCTTATTCTTTTAAATCTCTTTCTATTTCAACCCTCAGGTTTCCTTGTTTTCCCCGATTCCCCCTCCCAGGTGGGGACAGGTCCTTGGGTGAGAGAATAATTGTCTAAACGACACTAGATTGTTCTGGGTTCCTCAAACCATTGCACCAAGACACTAACCTTGCTTTTAATTTCCAGATCTCTCCCGTGGACCCTCTGAGACCCTGCGTGACCCTCCGTCATGCTCCAGTTCGCACCTGAAGCCCGCTGATGACTGAAACCAACAGGGATGCTCCTAGGATAAAAGAGTTGATAATAATCAGACGTTCAACATTCAACATTAATGATCTCTATCTCATCCTTCACTTTGTGCTGGAGGGTAACAGCTCCAGGGTAGTGAATATTGCTAAAGCAAGAACAGATTTCCGACCCAGAGCACTCTAAATTGGTGGTACTTACACTCTTTCTAATCAAAGCCCTGCATTCAGTGCACCAGTTTTAATATTAGATAATTCCTCGGAGTCTGTCACTCTCCAGCAAGGCAGTGTTCAGAGACCAATGAAATCCCTTTCAAGAAATAAAGTGCTAATTTAGTAATAATGGAAGTGTCTGGCTCTGGCAGTGAACAAAGCTGCAGTCTGCCAATGCCATGGGGTCAGCTTCCGGACGGGAATTGCTCAGTGATATTATCAGCTGTTGTAAAATGTCCTGGCCACGAAGTTAATCATTAACTCAGGTCCCCGTCTCATAAAAACATCGTATTGTAAGAGCACAACACGCTTAAAGCCAACTGTCACTAATCAATCATTGCGTACAGCGGGAATAAAGCAGCACATAAAAGGAGCCAGAAACTCAGCAAATCCTTCAGCGAAGGGAAGGCAAACTGCACGGAGGTTTATCTCCATGGAGAAATCCACTGACAAGGCAAACAATGGCCAGGGATCGACGGCTCCTGAGGTTCTGCAGGCTGAGAAGGACTGTCCTGCACCCGCTGCGGAAGGTGCTGCAGAAACGAGCGGGGCAGGAGCCCTCACAGAAGACGCCGCGGACGTAAAGACGCTGGAATTCACTGAAGAATGTATTAAAGACACGGAGCGACCTTCAGGCACAGAGCGAGACACTCCTGATGCCTTTAAACCAGCCATTTCGGAGGGAGACTGTCCAAACTCAGAGCCTCTCGTTATGCTAACAAACAAAAACTCTCCCGAAGGATGCGGTTTGGAAATGAACCACCAGGGTTCAAGCACAACATCTCTCGATATGGACTGCCTGGTCTGCTTCAACAAGTACAACATCTACAGAGTCCCAAAGCTCCTGGACTGCCAGCATTCCTTCTGTGCTGTCTGCCTCAAGCTTATCCTCAGGAAAGAAGAGAACACCTGGATCATCACCTGCCCCCTCTGCAGAAAAGCCACTTTTGTCTCAGGAGGACTCATCCGCACACTTCAAAATAAAGAAGACATCATGGAGCACTTGGAAAACCCCGATTCGAATCTCGAGGTGCACATCTCTGCCATAGGGCTGGACAGCCATAGCTGGACTCTGAGCAGCCAAGACGCTTTATACAGGGAGGAGAACGTTCCAGCAGACAACAGACTGGCTGTCCAGAGACTGGTGCTGCTCCTGCTCCTTGTGGTGATTCTCACCATCCTCATCCTCCCCTTTATATACTCCGGGCTGATAAAATGGGTAATTTGTCTCATGCTTGGTTTGGGGTTGGTCATGTCAATGGTGCTTTGCTGCACTCCTAAATTCTACTGGAGGTGTAACAGGGACTCGCTCACCTCCTGCCACAAGGAGACCCACATTGCTGCTATTGCCTGAGGTGGTTAACGTGAGCTGCTCAGAGAGAACGGCCCGGTCCTGCCTGCCAAGCTGCACGTTACTGGACTTTGAACGCAATCATTCACGTGACAAATTCAACAGGTGGCTGAAGTTATCCCACTAAGACTCAATGGCAAGGCACAGCCTCGTTAAATGTCATTAACGGAAACACAGTCCAATATTTATACGTTGATATTTATGAGATTATAAAAATTGTAGGTTTTCCATACAATTTTTATCCCAGGCTAATCATTTTGTTGTTTTGCTTTGGCCACGTTGTTCTTGTTTGTACCATCTTTTGATTAGCGCCGCAGAACATTATCTGAAACACCTGACAGATGATGTCCTGTGAAAATCCCTGGCTGTGGTTGCGTTTTCGCGCTCTCTTAACACACGTACACCTTTTCTTGTGACGATGTGGGGAAATAAGACTGCTAAATCAGGGGCTGGGTGCCTACCCTCAATGAAGAGAGCAGTTTTAACCCAGGTTATCACTTTAATCCCTATCCCTGGCCAAACAGTTGTTGGCAGGGATGGGAAAGGGACTGGGAAAATGGGGATGTCAGTTGATGCCACTTAAAGTAACGCATGGAATTAGAGAGAAAGAGGCAAAATCAACACTCCTAACCTTGAGCCTGCAATTGCAAAGGGCAAGGCTCTCAAAAGCTCATGACACTCCAAATTCCCCATGTTTTTTAGCACAGAAGTAGTTCCTCTCACCTGAACTCCTTTATCTAGCTCCCTGCACCGACTCTCTTCTTGTCTTGGAGATACCCACAGAGATAAAGAGAAATCTGTCAATTGCTGTGCCATACCACGTGTGATATTTTTATATGGAATGTGTCCATTAAAGTTTAATAATGTTAATCGCTCATTGACTTCTGTGTTTCAATTCCTCGCTGACAATTCATGTCAAAACATTTCACAGTTTCTTCACTGACAGGAACTACAGCTGAGAAAGCATATTAGGGAATCTGTACAGCTGAGTTGGTGAGTAAAGGAAAAAAGCAGTATGCTCCTTTATATTTAAAAAAATACTTTGTTGCTAAGAGAATACCCTATAAGCTAACTAAAATTAAATTGGAAAAAAAATTAGGAGTTTGCTCTAGTTAAGTTACATTTTTAAGAGTACCAAGGATCTCAGTAGACCTTGGATCAGGCCTGTGGTAAATATTTGTGTTCGATAAGAATGGAAACTGATGTACTCCAGTTGCTCGGTATATAAATATACATAGTGTCTCACCAGCAGATAAAACAGATTAGGTTTAGAGGTAAGGAGACGCTGTCCTCCTGGAGTCTTGGAAAAAACAGGACTATTTTCTGCCTAAGAACACGAACCTTCAAAGGAAATAAATGCTTTGGTTTTTCTAGTATATTGAGACAGCAACTGATTTATTGCAAAGTACGTATGTAGTAACATTTGCTAATAACCAACTAGAAAAAAAGGCTTTTCAATTGGGAAAATTAAGGTAGTTTTAAACCCAAGTATTTTATTAAACTGTATTACTCTAAATACACAGACCGGACTAGATATTCACCTGTACCGAAAACAATTTCAGAAACTCTTGCCGAATCTTTCAGCTCACAGAGAGTTTTCCTGCCCAAGATCCCTTCACCAGCACTGGGTGACTGGTACTGGTAAGATTTGTTACAGGTATATGATAGTGGCCTGAACATAGCACACATGAATGCATTAGAGTAAACTAGAAGGGTTAAAGGAAAACCATGCTACAGAACACTGATCTCAATCAAACAATCAGATAGCGAGGAAGAAACAGACTGTCCTGAAGATAAGATGACAACGATGAACTGGATTAGAGCCATAAAATAATCCAAATTAAAAAAAAAACACAACAAGAAAGATAAAACTTGGGAAATTTTGCCTAAGAGGGGAGGAGACCAAGCAAGACACCAAACACCACCAGCTCCAGAAGGGTGTGTAATTTGCACCCAGTATCAGTTTGACATCACCAGTCAAGAAACATAATGAAGATTTTTGAGGCAGTGTCCCTTGTCCTCTGTATCACTCCCGATGCAGCGTGGCCAGCCCGTGTGGGCTTGTCAGCACATGGGTGTGAACAGATGAAATCAGAGAATTTCATGTGAACAGGAAAAATCAGTTTGTTACACATCACCCTGCCCTTCCAAAGGGGTGCATTCAATTTTATTACACTGATTTCTACAGCGTCAAAAAAACAGCCAAAAGAAAAGGCGGAGCCCCTATGGATCCATACAGTAATCTCATCAGCCCTGGAAGTCCAGGTTTTCATCCCCAGCCCCTTCCAGCAGTTCAACTGAAACATTTCTTCAGCCCTCGAGAGCCTCTAACAACCGGCTGATTCAGAGTTCATGGATGTTGGTGGGAGTCATCAGGCCTTAAAACCTGCTATCTTTATAACAGCTCTTGCATCTCATCGGACAAGATAAGGCTCGATGACAACACAAACCTTTGAAGCAGCAACTGAGTTCATGGAGAAAAGGCCAACAACATTGTATTCTTATCCTAAAATGGTTCCTAAAAAGGGTTCGCTTGTACTCAGTTTTAATTCATGCCAGTCTTTTTGGCAAGAAAGTTTCATCTCCGAATTACCTTGCCCTGCTTACCTTAACTAGCTGGCTCCCAATTTTGGATAGTGATTAGGTAACACTCTGTAGCCTGAAAGAAAGGTTTATCATGAGAAATGGGCCTGGGCAGTATTATTCAGCTGTACCTGACAAACTGCATAAATATCCGAGAACTGTGACTTACAAAGACAGAATCCCATCGAGACATTAAGAGCATGGCAAGACCCAACAGAGTTTTTTAAGGATTTTAGTCACTACAGACAGAATCCCAGACCAGAAACTTCAAAGGTGTTTTGTTTAACAATGCATATACACCAGCTAATTTTCATTGAAAAATACGCCTCTCCTTTTGTCACGCTGTGTTCCCACTCTGCCCCCTGCCCACAGGACCTTTCCCAAAGCCACAATTTTCCCTGTCCCCATGCCTTTTCAGGCTTCTCACCAACAAACACCACCACCATCACCCACCAGAGTCCCTAGTTACTTATATAAGCCTGTGAGACAGGTGCCTGAAAAAATTTTGAGTGTAGGTGTTCTAAATTACTGTTAAATGTAGAAGTCCCACTTTATCTACAGAACTTTAAATTATCCATAATTTTTCTGGCTTTGATTACTATTAAACTATATAATGAGATCCCAAGTTTTCAACATCTGGTAAAACCCACTCCTGTCATTCTATGCAATGTTTTTGGTCACTTTTAACAGCTCTTCTGCATTATCAGACAGATATAAACAGGTGAAAATAAACATGGAATAAATAACATTTCACACTTCCACATCGTTCCGATTCTGTACAAAGAAAACATTCGGTCCTCAAACATAGAACTGTCAAATCTGTAAAGAAACTAATTTGCAGATTTTGGTCTGAGAGCAGAGGTTTGTTGTCCAGGAGATCCTTTGCTTGTTGTGAACCATTTGCAACTTGTCCATTGTGTTGCGCAGTTACTTCAGTTACAAGTGAATTAGACACCTTCTGCACCTTAACAGAACTCAAAAAAACTCACTTTCTGAACTTCAGTGTCACATTTAACAACTGTATGTGATGCTGCTCAAAATACCTATATGTAACATGAGTATTTGTTTGAGTAAACCCGATGGGTTTAGTAGTAAGCAACCAGGACAAGATAGTTGGCCAAATCAAAATCGGCATTTAAACAGAATTAGTACCCTGATTATCTTTTTGGTTATTTATAAATAGATCACACATAGCACATTTTAAAGCATATACTGGTTCGCCCAGCTACCAAGCAAGCAAAACTAGTTTTGCTGTCATGAAATGTGACCATACAAAAAAACTGCTCTACTTCCCCTGAAAAAAACCAATTTATCCAAAGATTACTGCACATTGGCCTTGCAGTTTCAGCCTGAGATTGCTCTTAGAGCAAATGCACTTCTTAAAACCCCAAAACACAATGCAAAAGCCTTATGTTTGGCTAGCTGAACTAACTCCAAAGATTCAGGATTTCTGCAAGGCCAATTAACCACAACAGACCAAAGCCTCCTGAGCAGCCTGTGCCAGTAAGCCTGCTGCTATCAGAAGGAACACATATATGGCCATCCTATCTGCCTGATGAGTCCATATATCTATAAACACACGTGCACATACTTCAGCTTGTCCGTATGTCTTTGGGATCCCACCCAATAACACAGCACGAAGTGAGACACCACTGAAGCTTTAGTTTTCCTCAGGGTAACCACCAGAGACACCAACCTGTCCTGCGGGGAGATGGCAAAGAAGTCTTGGGGCAGCAACCTGAGAGCAGCTTCACCACATGCACTTCGCTACCTCTCTCTATAATCCTCTCTCAGAGGAGGAGGCGCTCTCGGTGGAGAAGAAAGGCTTTAAAGGGAGCAAAAGGCCCAATACCCAGGTAGGCCTAAATCCTGAATGAGGCACCAACATGGCAGAGGAGGCCCAAGATGGGCCCAAGGTGGGCAGCTAAGAAAAAGCAGCTATACCCATCTCATGGTGAAGACAGACCTATTATCAACCCCGTGAAGGGGCCGGGAACCGGGTCAGGGCCAGCCGGGGAGGGGGCCGATTCTGCCCCTCTACTCTGCACTCGTGAGACCCCACCTGGAATACTGTGTACAGCTTTGGAGTCCTCAACACAGAAAGGACATGGACCGGCTGGAACAGGTCCAGCGGAGGGCCACAAAGATGATCAGAGGGATGGAGCACCTCTCCTATGAAAACAGGCTGAGGGAGCTGGGATTGTTCAGCCTGGAGAAGAGAAGGCTCCGGGGAGACCTTATAGCGGCCTTTCAATATCTGAAGGGTGCCTATAGAAGAGCTGGGGAGGGACTCTTTGCCAGGAAGGGTAATGATAGGACAAGGGGAAACGGGTTTAAATTGGAAGAAAAAAAGATTCAGATTAGATCTCAGGAAGAAATTTTTTACTGTGAGGGTGGTGAGACACTGGAACAGGTTGCCCAGGGAAGCTGTGGCTGCCCCATCCCTGGAGGGGTTCAAGGCCAGGCTGGATGGGGCTTTGAGCAACCTGCTCTAGTGGGAGGTGTCCCTGCCCATGGCAGGGGGTTGGAACTCGATGATCTTTGAGGTCCCTTCCAACCCAAACCATTCAATGATTCTATGTTTTTATGATCCCTCGCCATCCCCTCAAACCCACCGCCGCTCCCTCCCTACGCTCCGCAATCTACGCGCCTCGCTACGCCAGTCGCGTAGGGAAGCGGGACGGCCCAGAGCAGCCCGCCGACCGTACGCAGATTGCGTAGTGGCGGCGGGCAGGGCAGGAAGGGGCGGGAGGCGGCGGCGGAAGGGAACGGCGGCTCCTCCTTGAGGCCGGGCCGGCAGCAGGTCGGGTCCGGACCGGTAGAGGTGGGGAGAGGGGCTGGGGAGGGCTGGGGGTGCAGCTCCGAGCTGAGGGAGCGAGCGGGCGGGACCCTCTCCTCAGGCCGCCCCCTGAGGGGAGGGCTGTGGCGGCTTTCCCGCTCTGCTGCCGGCGGCTGGTTTCCTCTCCGGAGGGATTGTCAAAAAGTGCTAGTTCCGTGGAAAAAAATAAAACCAATCCCGTGTTCTAGCAGCAGAGATTTCAAGGGGTAACGGTTTTAAATTGGAAGAGGGGAGATTTAGATTAGATACGAGAAAGAACTTCTTTGGTGTGAGGGTGGTGAGAGCCTGGAACAGGTTGCCCAGAGAAGCTGTGGCTGCCCCATCCCTGGAGGGGTTCAAGGCCAGGTTGGAGGGGGCTTGGAGCAACCTGGTGTGGTGGGAGGTGTCCCTGCCCAGGGCAGGGGGTTGGATCTTTAAGGTCCCTTCCAGCCATTCCATGATTTTATCATTCTATGTTTAAAGCCAAGAAGAGATTCCTGTTCCTCTCCCACTCATTTCTTCACCCCTCCTGCACCCAAGCCAAGCTGACCACCCACACATGGCCACTGGCAACCCCTTGGTAGCACCTCTGGTAACCCCTCCTGGAGGCACCAATCTCAGCCTTTCCCAGCTTCAGTTTGCAACCAGGAATAAGTTGGTTGAGTAGACAAAGAGCTTCACCCAAGCTTCGTAACCCTGTGGGAAGGGACTCTTTATAAGGGAGTGGAGCGACAGGAGAAGGGATAACAGTTTTAAACTGAAAGAGGGGAGATTCAGATGAGATATTAGGAAGAAATTCTTTGCTGTAAGGGTGGTGAGAGCCTGGAACAGGTTGCCCAGAGAAGCTGTGGCTGCCCCATCCCTGGAGGGGTTCAAGGCCAGGTTGGAGGGGGCTTGGAGCAACCTGGTGTGGTGGGAGGTGTCCCTGCCCAGGGCAGGGGGGTTAGAACCTGATGGTCTTTAAGGTCTTTCCAACTCCAACCATTCTGTGATTCTATGATTCTATGAAACACAGAGGACTTGGGACAAAAGTGAGTTTCAGCATCTGTGGAGATGTGGGTCCTCACACCTTTCCCACCTGAGGTGTTTCCTTCAGGCATTCCCTGGTGGTTTCTCTCTGCTGGTCACAGCTTTGCCCACCTTCTGTGCACTGACAGCGCTTCACAGCCGCTACCAGCCTCTGGATTCACCAAATCAAAGGCACCCAGTTCTGCAACTGCTTCAGCTTTTAGCTTTTCCACATCCCCACCCCCTCAGTCCCTGATCTCTGTTTTAGAGCAAGTCTCTGCGTCAGCCGCCTGGATCGCGTCCCTGTGTTTTTATGGCAAGACATGGTTTTATCCGGGACTGAATTAATTGCCTTCCGTGTTTGTATTTCGTATCTACAGATTAGAAGTGAAGGCCGTGCTGCTCCCAGCGTGTAAGCACCTGTGGGGCTCTGGAGCCCTCCACACATCCCCAGGAAAACTCATCTGCCCGAATATTTCCACAATCACAGCGTTGTGTCCGATGCTTAACTGCAATTTGGCCGTACTGTCTTCTTATGTACCTTGGTAAGGGACTTTTTGGCCAACCCCATCTGAATAATTGTCTACAGCTACTTCTCTGAGGTTAATGAGATGCCTCATTAGCTTTTGAGATTAACAGATTGGTCACTTTTGTCATGGTTTAGGATGAATGTGATGCCAGCATCTCTCTCTATTTCTTCTTCCACAATCAATGTGTGTATTGTACAACTTTAGATCCACGAAAGGATTATCTTTCCACTTTCCAAATAGGATTGCAGGAGCCGCTATATAAAATACACCACCTCTCAAGAAAACAAAGGGCTTTGTGGGAAAAGTGAGCACTGAAAGTGATAAAAAATATCTCTTTCAAGTGACAGTTCAGATTATGGCAAGGCTATTGATTGCTGAATTACGTTGTGTGAGGTAGAGATGTGAATTCCAGTGCCACAAGCTGTGAATAACTTCGGGGATGTATTTCTAGCTTTCAATTCCCTCATCTTGGATTTAGGGGCAAAACTTCATGGCCCCAAGTTTTCTTTACTAAATCATAGAATAGAATTAGAGATAGATAGAATAGAATGGGTTTGGGTTGGAAGGGGCCTTTAAATCTCATCTAGTCCAAGTCCTCCTGCCACAACAGGGACATCTTCAACTAGATGAGGTTGCTCAGAACTCTCTCCAACCTGGCCTGGAATGTTTCCAGGGATGGGGCATCTAAATCCCATGTTGCCCTTTTTTTTTATGCTGCATGTCTGAAAATACAAGCCTGTTTTCCCTGGCTATTTATGAAGAAATAGATATCTGTGTTGAGGGACTCACATCCCGCATATTGATCAGATCATCTCCAGAGCAAAGTCTTTCAAAATCTTTCTTGGGATGTTCTAGATGTTTAGCATCATGAATTATTTGCTGCATAAGGGTAATAAAGTTGCATGTGAGAAGCCACTATGCTGTCACTCCATAATTGCTCACATCTTTTATGTTACTGGGAAACAAAGTTAAACAGTTGCACTGTTTCGGGGTCAGTTTTAGCTGCTTCACTTTTCATATGAGCCTTTGTTAACAAATCAATAAATCTATCACAGGAGGGAAGGGGATTTTATTTTCAATGCCATCTTCCATAATAAGCTAATAAATCCGTGTCCGGGGTGAGTAGATGTGCCAAGTGTTTGTGAAGTTATTGAAGCTTTAAGTGTTAGATTATTCCTGGGCAAATTGGTCCTTCAAGTCTGGATGTTTTAGGAAGATCAGAGCCCAGTAAGAGACGGGAAGTGCATTTTGGGGGTCCAAATGAGGGTTTTGGAGCTCCTGAGGTAATAAAACAATCTTGGGATTTTGTAAGAAAGTCCTGGAAAGCAGGGAGATGTGTCTCATGCCACCTTCCCAGCTGGGATTCGGGAAGCGTAAATGTGCTGCCTGTTGAGGTTGGGACCGGAGACCAGGGACCTGCCAGGACCATTGATCCCAGGTGCCCCAGAGAAGCATAATCTGGCCCTTCCTTTCTCTACTTGGTACGGAAACAACAGAGCTTATTTATTCCTGCGGACTTTGTGCTCCCATGTTGCTGGAATGTGATGTTTCCATGGAAACGGACCGAGATGCCTTAGACCCGTGTGCTCAAGCTGGACAGCATCAGGAGATACGTGTTGTGGGGAACTGAGCTCTCCCAGGGAGAAAGGTGTGATGGCCCTTGAGTGATGAATTTGCCTTGCATTTGTACATCAGCAGTTAAATAGTGCAAAACTTGAGAAATACGAATCTCCTTGAATAAATTTCTGAGTGGGAAGGCAAGACAGACACCTTTCCTGAAAGACCATGGCAGATGGCATGCAGATAATAAACTCTCTTTAACAAGAGCTGCTCCTGTGCTGCATTTCTTTCTTCTGGGACTCTAAAACTGTCCCATAAAAGGTGTTTGCATCCTCTGAGATGCCGTACTTGGTTCAGAATGGGCTCCTAATTCCTATTTAGCCACTTTCTACAGGGTTCAGAAAGAAAGGAAACATTTAAATAGGAAGTATATCATGAAATAGGTGGTTTGGGCCCCTCAGAAACTGATTGAATCTTGCTGAAGTCAGTAGAAATTTCAGGGGATGTGAGAGAGCTTTGGTGCAGATTATTACCCATGTAGAATTGTGAAATGAGCTGTTGTCCCCTTTGCCTGATGTCAGTCACCTCGGTTCATTGCATATAGAATCAGGGGAGCTCTGGGGAGCAGCTGGAAGCTGTTCAGCTGGAAGCGTGCACATCTATGCTCTGAAAAACCAGTATTTTGGCCCAGCTGATGGTCTGTGTGGTTCAGGGATCTTCTGTTTAGGGAAAAAGCAGGGGCAGGTTGTGTAGAGGAGAGAATGTTAGGAGCAAAGCTTAGCAATGTCCATGGGACCCATTAAAAGTCCTCCTCATCAGAGGCTGCAGCTGGACTCAACTTTCTTAGCGCCATCAGCAAAATGAGCAGAGCAGCAATTTGGGTTGAGGATGAGAGAGGCAAATTATTTCCCGGGCAGCTGTAGACCGGTCCCTGCACCAGGTGCAGGGCTTTTATTTTACATGTTAACACGTGAATGATATGCCTGAGCGGAGCCCAGTCTCTTTGTATCTTGAAGGGGACTTTTCCTTTTGCTGTGGGAAGTATTGTCGGCTCATTTTGTGCAAGGCATTTGAGAATTGGTGAACAAAAAAGTCTGTTGTCTTCTTTGGGCAAAGCACCATGTAGTGTGGGGGAGACACAAGCTTGACCTTGAAAGACTTGACTTAATACTGAAAGCAAGCGTGACAGTGGAAAAACACAGGCAGTTTGTCTCCTTACTTCCTGGTTTCCAACTGTTTCTTGTTTGTGTTTTGTTTTTTTTTTCTCCTGCTTTCTCCTCTTTGAATTTGCAAGTGAAAATGGCTGCAGAACAGAAGTGGAAAGGTTGGGCTTCGAAACAGCGCAGCAGGGCTGAAGAGGCAGGTGGAAAGAAACCGTGTGTGCTCCTGGGCCAGCAGCTGGAAGAGCCAGGAAAATTTGCTTACGCAGCGCTTTGCGGGATATCCCTGGCACAGCTCTTCCCTGAAAACGAGCAAAGGTACCTCATGGGGTAGCAAGGGGTGAGCAAAGGGGGTGGATGGAGCTGGTACCAGACTCCGGGGTGGTGGATCTTCTGAATGTAGGGGGGTGGAAGATCTTTCTGGTGTTGGGTCTCTTCACGAAGATGAATGCTCACATTAGGGAAGGTGACACAAAAAGAGCCTAGAAGCTGATTGCTGGTGTTGACATTTTCCTGCTGTCTCTCTGTCGGTGTTGTTCTGAAGCCCGTTGAAAGGCAAAGGACACCCTGACATTAGGTGTTTTCCTAATTGGATTGAGTTCCTTTCTTACGCTTTTAAGACTTTTATACTTCAGCCCAAATTGCATCCCTTAATACCGTGGACTTCAAAGCATGTGTTGAAGACAGGGCTGGCCCCATTCAGGTCGCTGTGTAGCAGCTCACCACCTGCTGACTTCTTACCATGCTCTGATTTTTGTGTGAATGGCAACAGATCAACATCTGAAAGCAGGGGCCACTCAAAGTTTGTAAAAATACCCAGTTAGGGAACCTTAACTGCTGCTGTTCCCTTACAGCTCCTTCAGGACTGAGTTCATTGAGGGCTTTGTGAAATGGCTGGACCTGGCCGACGCTGTCTTACCTGCCGTGACAGCATTTGCTGGTGGCTTAGGAGGTGAGGGCACAGAAACCTTTACTGAGATTTTGCTGAAGGATCCCGTCGTGAAAGAAAACCCGATTGTCATTACCCAGGTAAATTCATATGCTCCCCTTGCCCTTTTTTGCCTTTGCAAGAGAGAGTTGTCACGCTTGTCTGTTTGCAACTGAAGTCCTGTTTGTACAGTCAAGGAAACAAATCAGTATTTCTGATATGCATATATTTCCGAGCAGCTGTGTGGTGCCCGTCAGTCTCTGTCTCCATTAGCAGCTCCTGGAAGTGATGAACATGAGGCACGTTACTGTCTGTTGAATTAATGTTTTGTGTCTTTGATACCTTTGCTCTACAGAACTGAGAACTGTCAAATTTTTCACTTTGACTGTATTGTTGCAGTGGTTTTGATTCATAGGTGTGTTCTACAGATTTTGGTGAAACACTGAACACGATAGACCTGATTTTCGTTTGTTTCAAAACCATACCTCTAATACAGAACACCTCTAGGTACGTGCTCCAAATAGCACAAGTTCCAGAGTCTTTTTTCCAGAGTCAGCTTTGGCCACAAGGGAACAAAGTTATCATGACTTTATTTTCTTTCACTGAGAAAGTATTATTGAACCTGGGACTACTCCGTCATGTTCTGATGTAAAAGCTGATGTAAAGATAAAAAAGGCAAAGCATTTTGGTGGCATTCACCTTTGCTGCAGCGTCTCAGCTGGGGAGGATATCTCCTCATCCAGGCTCACGTTACGGCGCGCGGGGCGAAGAGCAGGGTAGGCTGCTGCTGATTGCCAGCCGTAACGTGGCCACTGTCCCTTCGCACCCTTTGCTCTGTACCGCACACGAGGAAAGAACAAGGCATCCTGCGTGCAGAGAAGTGCTCTGATATTGGGTAACTGTTATCACACACTCACCTTTAGCAACGGCCCGAGGGAACAGCAGATGCGAGAACAGGGCTGCGTAAGGAAAGATATGATAGGAGTGAACTTTCTTGGTCATCGCGACCAGCTCCCATTATCTCAGCCACCTTTCGTGTCTTCTAGTCACTCCATAAAAGGCATCGGAGCATCTGCTCCAAACACCCAAACGTTACAATGCCCAAAGTCCTGGAACAGTAGGAGAACAGCTACAGAGAATCTTAAGTTTAATGAATATGTTAGGACAACTCTTCTAAAATGAGAGCCGCCGTTTTGATGTTGTTTGCTCAAAATCAATAAATCCATTCTCAGTTCTTTCTGCATCAAGATGGCTTGGTAGTTCCCAGGTTGTTTCCCTCGTTCTCTCTGCTTCAGGATGGATTCTCTAGAATTAGGGAAGTCTTCCTGCTGTTGCTGCTGAGTTAAAAGGGTGACATTTTGGTGAAATTTAGCTTGTGTTGCGTAAGGTCTCCTTGTGCTTTTACAAAAGCGACTCTGGATCAGTGGGAGCGCGCGGCATTTTGCTCTGAGCCAGAGAACCCAGACATTTATCACCTGGATTCAGGTGGAATACAGAAGCCGGAGATAACAATTCTTTGATTAGTTGAAAGCAAAGATCAGGAATCGCTATCAGCCTAATGCCACAACATCAGTACCTTATGCAATCGTGTATATGGGCAAGGTGATTGATTATAACAAAGGGAAGATAGAATTAAAGGGGTTTTGTAGAGCAGGGCGGCAGAGGCTTGCAAGGGGTCTTGGGGAAGGCAGACTGGCGTGGGGAAACTTCAGTGCATCAAGCTGAAATCAGCTTTTTCCTTCTTACCTGAAAATAAACAAGCTACGGGACAAAGCTCCGTGATATCTTGATACTTTACTTTATGGTGTTCTTGCTGCTTTGTATTCAGCTGCCACTGACGCAACATTTACTGTTTATTTAACGAGTGCAGGCTTTAATTGCTCGCTGTGTTCCGTGGCAGGGGCCTGTCGGCACTAGTGCCTGCAGTTTTGAATGCCCTTCATCTCAGCCCTGCTGAAGGGATGATACATGAGGTCAAGAGATGAGCGATGAGTTCACCATTGATTCAATAAGAATTGGGGGATTATGGATTTTTATATTTGTTTGCATTCATTGCAGGCAAACGTTGATTAACTGAATCCCTTTGTGGACAGTAGTTCAATAACACAGGCTGTGGGTTGTGATGAGAAGGCAGTGCAACAATTAAAGGTGAAGAAGTGATGATAGGTTTAGAAAATACTGAAAGTTCTTATTATGAGTAAGTATTTTTGCTCTGAACATACTTAGAATGCCCATTTTCTTGTGTTTTTCTCCTGCGATGTGGATTGGGTGCTCTCTGTTGAGGAAAGGGGTTTTGAACTTGCAGCAATTCATAAAATGCTGGCAAAGACTTTCAATAAAGATTGCTTCCCTTTCTGCGTCATGTTTCTCAATCGGAGGGGTGGGTAGTCTTGTGCCTAGAGTTCACAGGGAGATTCAAAGCTGAAATATAATAACTGCTGCTTAGAGGAGGAAAGCAAACTACTCGTGAGCTAATCTAATCAATGCTGATTGGATTCCAGATGAGTGCACAGCCGTACGTGCAGAGCCTAAACCAATTAGAAATAGTTGAGAACGCAAATTGGCACAGACGCAATAAAAACAGGAGTTTCAGTTTGTCACCTGATTACAAAAAAAAAAGCTGATTCCATCCCTCAGCTTTTGAAATGCGTGGATGTAAATGCTTAGGCCAGATTTTTAAAAGAGGTTATTTGATATTAGGTGCCACAGAGGGTGTGTCATACAGGACCTGAGTCAACACCCACGGCTCCCTTCACAGCACACGGGGAGAATTTATTGCCTGCAAACGGGCTCTGCACAAACCAGTAACCCTGTTCAGGAGGCTGCTTACATTAAGCCATGGAAAATGATGGCAGCAAGGCCACGAGCTTCACCTTTTTCTAGACTTCAGGATCTTTTCTTGGTCAGCGTTCTGCCTGGGACTCCCAGCCTGGGACCTTCTGCTGGGCTTTGACACCTCTAAGCCACCCCTTCCTCACAGAGCTGCAGCCTGGGGGCAGATGGTGGTGCCCCCATATTGGGTAGTTACAGAATTTGGGCTCTGGGAGTTCCGTTCCTCCCTCTGCCTGTGGGGATTAATGTTTCCCATTCCCACAACCCACCAACCACCCTGAGGAACAGTCTGCACTCTGTGTGTACAAATTTTAGCCAAAGCTAAAAAGAAGCCTTTTTTTTTCCACAGTGTGGTGATCAGGGGAACAGAAGAGCTCTGATTCAGTGACTACCTTAAATTAAAAGGGTTATTCACATACTGGAGATAGCAAACCAGGACCTTCCCCTTCTTGGGTGAGTGCTCTGGCCATTGGGATGCAGGATGAAGAAGCTGTGGTGACTGCTTTGTGCAGATCCCAGCCAAACACATACCTTTTGGAAATGCTTATCCCGTTAGGAATGGCAGGACAGGCAAACAAAAGAAGGCTTTCTCTTTGGATGGGAACAGCCACCCAGACACTCAGCAGTAGAGGTGTGTGTGAAAACATCAGGCAGCAACAGAGCAAAGGGTTTGGGCCTCTATCTTGTGAAAAAGCACCCATAGGTGGGAATTCAGCTGCCCTGATCCTTTGGCTTCCCCAGTGCTACGCAAAAGCTCTCTCCTCCTTCATCAAAAGCAGATTCTTTTCATGTTAGAATAATATTCAGCACTTACTTTTGCCTGGATAATATCTACAGTTTGCCCCTCTTCTAGCAGGAGCTGGTTAAGGATGGCTCGTTCTCTGTTCTACGCTCCTCATGCAGTAGGGAAAAGATTAGAGACATTTTTACGATACACATTTTGCTTAGGAGCTTATGGGACTAATAATCATAAACTCTTTGGCAGCATCCTACATCTTTGGCTGCGTGTTTTTGTGTTCCCAAAGGGCTGAAGGATTCCCTGTAAAATTCAGCTGTGCTTTATTTGTGTGCAGGAGAGGGAAGTAGCTAGACTGAGCTCGTGCTTAGTGTTGTAGTTACATAAAGAACTTAAAATTTATCCACTGATAATAAAAGAGGAGAACAGAGTAGTAAAAACACTGGCCTCTTTTTTCATGGGTTTGCCCAGAGAAACCATCTATGGGATTGATCTGTTTTCTGATTTTTTTTATGGTGAAGAGCCAACACAGAAGTCAAGTCCCTCAGTCTTGACAGATGGCCATAAATTCTGAGTTTTCTATTTTTTGAGCACTTAATCCAAAAGTACTTCGTGCCAGTTCAGCCTTATGGCCTAGAGCTATGAATTCCCAGAATGCCAAAGAAAATGGGGGCCACTGGTCCATTCGAGTAGCATTCAAACCTGCTACTTAGAAAATATGGGTATATATGACTATACAGCGAGCAGAAGGCATTAGAGTGGTAGCAGAATTAGAACCCTATTTCTCAAAACTTTGAAGTCATGTATAATTATGGTGCTTTCAGATGAACAGGATCACTAATAACAACAACAACAACAAAAAAAAGGAGTATTTCAGCATATACCAAGCATTATCTACTTCTGTCCGGCCATTTGTACCTGCATATGGAGAATTTTACCCTGGAAGCATCTGGTTTTGCTCTGTGCTGCCCTGCAGAGTTGTAGCTTGCTGGCTTCCCATGTTTATGGGAATTACTGTCATGCTGCAGTAATTAAATCATAATCTGATGGGTTTTCATGCCTCTATTTTGATACCTCCAGGTTTACATCATCAGTTTTAACTTGAATATTCTTTTTTTTTTCTTTTTAGGACCTTCTAGCCTTCTCTCTTAGAGATGGTAAGTTTATCTAGCGTTTGTTCTTTGTAAGAATCATGCAGATGAGTTTACATCTGATACTTTAAAATGCTCAAAAAGCTCAAGGTACCATCCTATTTTATCTTAGCTTCCTTTATAGCAAAAGCAGCACAGTCTTTCCCTGCATCCTCTACAGGAAAAGCAACTATTATATTAGGAATGATTAATAAAACCTATTAAAAATTAAACAACTGTTCACCTTCTTACCTTCACATCACATATTGGCATGCAATCAAATGAGATGGTAGAAAAGTTCTGAAGTGAAATACTGGGGTGGTTTTTTCTGCAGCATTTCCAGGGGAGCAGACACCCTCTTCCTTCAGGAAGGCAGTGAAGCTGCTGTGAAAAATCTCAGCCTAGAAAATTTTCTGCAGATCACTTATTGCCTAAAAAAAAAAATAAAAAAAAATCCAGGGAATAAATTCCAGAGTGTCCTGTGAAGCCTGTTATAAATAAATGTGATTTTAATCGTGTATTATATTACACGTAAAACAATTTTCTGGTTTGCAATCCCTACCATGGATTAGTCTGATAGAATTAAGGAAATAAGGACTGCCTACTTAGCAAAATGTTCATTTCTAAAAGAAGCCTTTTTTATATCACTACTTGCACTTTTTAAATCTCTGTGTTTTAACGTGTTCTCACAGGAAAGAACTCACTGGTTGCTGATTAGCCTGTTTCAGGGCAGAACAAAGTACCATTTTTGTGCTCGCTTTATTTTTAATGGAAAATTGACAAGTCAGTTATTGCAAAACTGCTTATTTTGCTAAGCTGGAATTTAAAAGAAATATATTTTCTAGCCTCGCTGACTTACTGCCAAGCTGGCTGAGTCAAAAGCTTGAAGTTGTGTCTTAGCAGCCAGGAAGCAAGAAGGCTGCTCGTTAAAACACCTGCTGGGGCTGGCAAGACGTGGCACATATTGGGGGTGAAGTGAAGAGAAATGCTACCCTTATTTCTCAATTAAGTACAAATCTTAGAAGTGGCGTCATCAAAGCCTCCCGAAGTAGTTTGGTATCTTGGTGATGATGGTAATAAATAAATAAACTTAATAGATTGCCAAATGCTATACATGATCTACGTGCAACGGGTATCGGAGTATGTAGTTGGGTCTTGCTGATGTCTTCACCCACCCCGAGAAAAAAAATTGCATTTTTCATCCCAGAGCGCACCAAGAACCCTTTACAAAAGCCTACCCTCAGGAAGCAGCAGGTGCTACTGAGAGAAACACATTTAAAAAGCAAGAGTGGGCACAAATAATTTAAAATCTATTAAATTTAAAATGTCTTTTCTTTAAGAACACCTGCTTATGAGCTCAGGGGTAATCATTTCTCCTGTCGCGTGCTGTCTGAGTGCACTGTCCGCTCCGGCTTCTCCAGCAGTGAGGTGTAAATGCTGACCATTGTCAGCGATGCTGCTGGGGGAGCTGGTGTGGGGTCTTAATCTCCAGAGTCCCTCCTGCTGCCAACAAGATGAGCTGAATATAAAGCTTTAGTATGGAGCTGCACCTTTACAAAACACCTTATCTTGCGTTGGTGCATAGCTGAGTGTACTGTGTCATGTTACCTATATATCTATTTGATATTTCCAGTTAGGACTGGTCTTGCTGCAGCATTTCTCTGCGAAGAGGAAAGATGCAGCCTGCCCAGAGCCAAAAGGCCTCTGTCAGAGAGGATGAAGACCGAAGGATTTGCGATCCTTTTTTTGTTCTAGAGGCAATTACCTGGGGTAATGACTCCGCAGCGTGAGGTTTGCAGGGAAGAAGGCTTTTCCATTTATCGCTCTCTTCCCTGGATAATAGGAGTTGTTTTCAAATACATGGAAGCCGAAGAGGGCCTGAGGGAAGGAGTGATGCTTGTATGTGACGTGGTTCTCTAGCACATCTGAGCTCATCACTCACTGTTTAATCTGGTGTGATGAAGACTAATTGATTTCCTGGGCTTCCCTCTCTTTTAGGGTACTATGATGCTCGAGCGAGGGTGCTGATCCGCCACATCATCTCGTTGCTGAGAATCCCTCTGGAGGAGCTGGAAGTCCTGGAGGAATCTCTGCTTGAGAGCCTGAAGGAGCAAAAAGAAGAAGAGTCAGAGTAAGAACATTGGGGTTGACTATGGGATGAAAAAACACTGCTGGTGCTTGAAAGCTTAGCAGTAATTACTTGTGCCTAAGTCCAGTCTCTGATCGTTCCCCCCATGGAATAGCGTAATCATTTATGGCTTGATTAGGGTTGCAGAGCCCTCGCAGCACTTCAGCTGCACTGAGAAGCAGGAAAGCTCAGCACTCTTAAAATCAGAGCTGAGACCCAACCTTGCAAGCTGGAAAATGCCACTTGGTGCTGAACTGCCTCATTTCCTTGTGCCAGTTGCCTCTCCTAGACTGTAGATTATGCTTAAATACATCACAAAGATTTTGTGTCTCTTATCTCTCATGAGATAGAACATGAGATTCCTATCAATTTCAGGATTAGACCCTCAGCTGCTGATTTTCTATGGATCTGTCCTTCTCTGTACCCTCTTTAAGAGCCAGCTGTCTAGCTCCTACTGAAGGTAGACCTCTGAGGGCAACAGCCTGCATCTGTAGATACTTACAGACCTGACTCCTAATTCTGTCTTATTAATATAAGATTAATTCTCTTACTTGCCAGTCCTTAGATGTGAAACAGCCAAAATGTTGGTATCTATAAGAAATGTAGTATTTTTATATTCCAATTATCGGGCAGGAATTGTCTGAAGGTTTAGCAATATGTGAGGCAGTAAACATGCTCCTAGTGGACTTTCAAGGGACCGTTGAATATTTTTTATCTGTCGACTCAGCAATCAGGTTATGAGATTAACCTGAGTGCTAATAAAGCTTTTAATCAACGTCCCTGACACAGTACAGTTCAGACGTTACGTGGGGCCCAGCCTGTGACGGGAATCTTTCTGTTACAGCTTCATTGAAATAAAGCTTAACTTTACAGCGCACTGTAAAAAGGGGAAGTCAAAATAATCTCAAAGATCATGGACTGCTAACCAGGCCACCGTTTGGGGTGCAGGAGCAAGGGTTGGTCTTCATGGGGACTGTTTTCACTGCAGCTTGTGGCACAAGGCTGAGATTTGTGGGGAATCGGTGACCCTCTGTTTGTTTTAAAGTTAGGAGTCAATGGGGGAAGGAAGCAGGTTATAAACCTGTCACCGCTTTGACCTCACAGACTTTGGAGGCAGGGAATACATTAACATCTCCTTAGGATGCTTCTAGCTTTGACCATCCACTCCAAGAGGTTTTGGAGCAGTAACAACCAAAGAGGGGTTTGGCAGCTTCTGCACAGACCTTTTTTACTGGTATTTGTTAAGAGGAGGTTTTGCTCCTGCCTGTGGATGTGTTGGCCTGTGGCCCAGAACCTGCAAGGTTAAATGTACAATCATCTCTAGAACAATGCTCTGAACACTTAAATCCATGTTACTAGCACCAAACGTGTTCTGACTTGCAGGTGTGAGCCTCCCTTTTGTACACAGTTGTGTAAGAAACTGGAAAACACGCCGTCAGTTGCTTCCTAATGTGTCCTTCTGCCTCTTTTCATCATTGGAAAATGACCTGTCATTCCACCTATAAAACCTCTCTGAGCATAATTTGTGGTTCAGGCAAGAAGCTGCACACCCGAGATCACTGAGGGTAGAGAAGTACCAGAAGAGGCAGTTAATTACCGTAGTGGATAAAAAGCAGTCTGGTAATCAAGTGATAATTGTAATGCAGAAGCCATTAGGAAAATGACTGTCAAAAGCAGTTGCTAGCAGCTACGGAAGGAAAGCGGTGACAGGTAAAAGTTCTCATGACAGTAGTTGTGTTTACTGCATCTTCAGGCAGGCTTTAGCTGCAAACTTTCTACCCACATAACCCAAATTGCTCATTATTGCAACTAAAGCCAGTTTAGTTGTATTTCAGCTCTCTCAGTGACATTATTTTCAGCACATTGACTATAAAAGCTGATGAACCATTTCATGGAACAGAAATTGCTGGATAGCACCAACTTAGGTATTAACAGACTGCAGCACTTGTTCAAGGATTTCCAGGAGCAATTTTCTCCAATGCCAGGCATGATTGGTGGCTGCAGGGACAAACTAGGGCACGTCCAAATATTGCTTTGACTATGGCCTTGTAGAAAGGGGTCCCCAGTTCCAGAAGGACAGGGAACTGCTGGAGAGGGTACAGCAGAGGGCTACAAAGATGATGAGGGGCCTGGAGCATCTCTGTGCTGGGGAAAAGCTGAGGGACTTGGGTCTGTTCAGTCTGGAGAAGAGAAGGCTGAGGGGGGATCTGATCAACACCTCTAAATCCTTCCAGGGTGGGTGTCAGGAGGATGGGGCCAGTCTTTTTTCAGTGGTGCCCAGGGACAGGACAAGAGGAAATGGGCACAAACTTGAACATGGGAAGTTCCACCTAAACATGAGGAAGAACTTCTTTGCTGTGAGGGTGGCAGAGCCCTGGCAGAGGCTGCCCAGAGAGGTGGTGGAGTCTCCTTCTCTGGAGACATTCCAACCCCCCCTGGACACGTTCCTGTGGGACCTGCTGTGGGTGGACCTACTTTGGCAGGGGGTTGGACTAGATGATCTCCAGAGGTCCCTTCCAACCCCACATCATCCTGTGATTCTGTGAAGTGAACTTGGTTGTACAGAAACTGCTCAAGAGGTAGCCATGGCAGGCTGCGCTGTTGTTCTCTGCAGCCAGTCATGTTTGCAGCTGCAGAAGGTAATACACGATGGTTTTTTTTGGAGGATCTCTGTGGAGACAATGTCTCCGTGCCATGCAAGTCAGTGGGAGTTCTGCCATTGGCTTCAGCGAGGCAGGGATTTCACCCACTGTGCTTCATTCTCCTCCTGCTGTGTTTTACAAAGCTGCGTATTGTTTGGGACTCATCTAAAATTGTCTTTATCAAAATTACAGCGCGCTTAGGGGATTCCAGGAAGGATTAGGCAATTATATGGATAATGAAAATCCACAATTAGGCTAGGATTAAGAGGGAAAATATCCAAGTTTGGAAGCAAGATAAATTCTCATGTTTCAAGGCCCAGATTAACTGCTGCGTAAGCAGGCTAGAAGGAACCTTCCTCTGTAAACAACTTATTCAAATATTCTCTGTTTCTCACACTTTCCTCTGAAGTGAGAAGTATTTCTTGTAAGATAGAAACCAAAGACAGTGGAGAGGAACCAAAAGTAGTGCTTAACAAGTAGTATTTGTTCCTTTTAGGTTTATTTATCTGTTTCTGATAAGCTTGTTAAAATATAGCTTAAATGCACACAGACAAACGAACTAATGACTGTGTTTAATACCTATTATGTTACTATATCGTGGCGTGCAATTAGAAAGCAGCTCACTATAAACACTGTTGTTGGAAAATAGTTTAATTCCATCTATTTCTTTGTTAGCACAAATTACCCCTATTCCCTTTTGTTTCAATCACTTTCCTCTGTTTCCACTTAGCTTTCTGGTGTTTTTTTTAAGACACATGGGCAGTATAAAGTTATTGAAATGCTTTTGACTTTTCGTTTCTTTTTTTACAAGCTTCAGCCCTATTAGGAAGGGTTTTCCAAGTAAGTACCATCTGTTGGCTTTTGTCAGCAATTAAATCGTTTCCATTTAAATCTGCGGGTTTATGTCCACGCTCATAAATCTGAGTGTGTTGTCACAGTCCACACCTGCATGTTACTTTTTACTGTTCCTTGTAGAGAAATTAAACTGAGGAGAATAAAAGCAGATTCTGATGCAAGCACTGTTATCTGTCAAGCTTTTTCATCAGCTTTTGTGCTTCTAACCCCCCCGCAGAACCGCAGAAGTATCAAGAAAAAAGAAAGAAAGAAGAAGAAAGCTGAAGAGATACCTGCTGATCGGTTTGGCAACCGTTGGGGGTGGAACAGTCATCGGTGAGGCTGCCCGAGGCTGCACCTGAATTGCATGCACAGCACCAGGGGCAGAGGAGGGGGGGTCTGAATTACACATTCAACAGCAGAAACCATCATGCCTTTTAGCCCAAGCTCTAATTTTAAAGCGTTCACTGCTTTTCTTTGCCAGGCTGAAGGTAGTATGTCACTTCAGATGCCAAAAAACACCCCGAGCAAAAGAAAAAAAAACCAACAAAAGAAACCTCAAATCCAAGAAAAGTTTCAGCCACACAAAAATAAAACTGAAAGAATGAACTAGAAATGTTATTCCAGTGTAGCTTCACTGGCTACTGAGGAAATATCAGTCTGAGGCTGTCACCCATAAATATGCTTTCTCCTCTTTTGCTTTTGTGTTATAAGAGGATCAGATCTTCACCTCTAAATTCAGAACAGTGTGAGATTGGATCAATGTTTCTTAAGTAAATATGTTTCTTAAGCTTACCCTGGTCTACCACACATTCTTCCTTTGACTTCTAAATTATTCTTTGTTTTTACTGAAATCAAAGAATCTGTGCAGAGATTCAGGGCCTGGGGAGGGTCTCAGAAAGCCCCTTTGTTGGTGATGCAAGAAAGACCATCCTTTGTAGGCGCTCAGTAGCATTAGGAGCACTCACACAGCCCCGGGAAGTGACTGCCTGGTTTTTGTACGGGAGAATAAATTGGTGATATCACTTGTTGCATCTTCAGGCCTGACGGGGGGTCTCGCTGCCCCTCTGGTTGCTGCAGGAGCTGCTACTATCATTGGAAGTGCTGGAGCAGCTGCTCTGGGGTCGACTGCTGGAATTGCTGTCATGGCATCGCTTTTTGGAGCAGCTGGAGCTGGTCTTACTGGTAAGAGAGTGACCGCACATTTCCCAGCTACTAAGGGCCAGGATCACATCTGCAAATGCAGAGCTAATGACTTAACTCAGCTCTGCAGGGCAAGGGAAGCCATTTGATGTGTAATATTACAACTGTGAACTTTTTATTTCAATGCTGATTAAGATACTGTGTAACCCCTGATGGCCAAATTTGGTATGCAGCTAATGAAGGAAATGAAAGCTTGCTGCTTTGGATTAGGAAGATGCTGTCGTGGAGAGCAGCAGCTGCTAGAGCTAATGTCTGGTCTGCAGCAAAAAAGCCTTCTGCTGGGATTCCTTCAGATCACACAAGCTCAGAAGGATCATATTGGCTCCATACCAAGCCCTAAGTAATGCATGGACTCGCTGAGCCAAATTACCCAAGTAATTTCTTATGAATTTCTACTGTTAGCAGAGTCTGTCCTTGCCCTGCAATTTCTGAGACGCGTGTTTCTGCCTTGCTGTGTGTAGGATACAAGATGAAGAAGCGTGTGGGAGCCATAGAAGAGTTTGAATTCCTCCCACTTACCGAAGGCAAACAGCTTCATATCACCATAGCAATTACTGGATGGCTGTGCACTGGCAAATATGGTAAGAACAAGGCGAGGAAGCTGAGAGGAGCCTGGAGAGCCACGTCTCCATTCCACTCCAGGCTGTGTTCATGCTCTCGTGGCACCATGTCTTCCCCACACTTCCATGGCCTGGTGACTAAACCAGATCGACTCTCAACAGAAGATTTTGTAACCCAATCCTCAATCCCACTTAAAACAGAGGAAAAGAGAGAGGGCAGTAGATTGGTAGTAGTGATAGCAGAATTAATAGTAATCCTAGCAGATTGTTTCTGTTAATAAATGCTGTCTGGTTTTGCTAGGAAAGGTCTGTTTGGGGTGGATGATTTCCAGCAGGAGTACAAAGTGTCTCACCTGTCTCTGAGACCTTATGTTTATCCTCCAGCAATTAACAGAAAAGAGTGTCTTTTTTCGTTCTCGGTATCTGCCAGCTAATGAGGTTTATTGGCAAGAAAGTTCTGGCAAGTAAATCCTGTTAAGCACAGCACTCAGGAGGTGAAGTTAGAGGCAGCAACCTTGAAAGGTCTGTAGTGTTTTAGTTTCCAGTATAGCTTGTCATATAAAATATGTCAACTGTCTGCTGATGCGTTCAGCAACCTGACTGAACAGCTGCCAATTTATTCAGAAGCATCATAATTAATACGAGATATCATTAATGCAGAAGGATGTCTCCATCCTGTTGGTTGTTAGGTTGCAGCTTGCTGTCAGAGTAAGGTTATTTTCACTTTGCAGTATGGCACTTTGGCTTTGCTCATTGTCTGCTTGCCAAGGGGTCCGAATCCTTGGGGTTGGAGGGCTCCTACAGAGACAAGTGTGTCCCTTCAGAAACCTTTCTGTGTCTGTTTGCCCTTAAAAGGGAGTTATAAATGACATACATTCTTCTTCCATAACTAGCAATCTGCTATAGTGTTTTAAAAAGCCAAACTAGAATTGTCATCCGTTTTCTTCCTTACAGCTCTGTCTATTTGCATACTTTCGTGACTCCTTAAAACAGAGGGACTGAGGATGGGATTTTTATGGAATTTATTACCTTTTGATTTTTGAGCTCCACCAGCTGCCTGCCTGCACAGTATATCGGGCTGTGACCTGGCCTGGGGCTCTCTTGTGCCACTTAGTTCAGCAGCTGCCTTTGCCTGTCCTGCACTTGGTTGGGGAAGGAACAGTGTGGAAAGGGTTTGAGTTAATTAAAATGAAAATTCTGCTCTGCCCTTCAGAGTTCATCTGCCATTAATAGCGTTGCCAGGCCCCTTCTGGCCGCTCAGTACAAGCTACACAGCAAACAGGAGAGAGAGCATGGCTTCAGAATTGTTCTTGTGGCCAAAAATGAGGCTTGCAGAGTGTAAATTATCCATTATCTCTCAAACACCCAGGCGCTGCTTTTGATTAGCATCTGGAGGGAAAAAAATTAAACTGAAGTGGCTAACTAGGCGAGATGGCAAAGTGAAAATAATTGCAGTCTGGATCTGAAAATGCAGATTCCTTGCTTTCAGATAGAACCAATAATGCAATCCTTGCCCACCTAAATGAAGTGCTTGGGAAGATGCTCTGCGATGGATTTTTATTTTTGACAAGATCTTGCATGTTTTCCATTTTTCTGGTCCCGCTGAAGTCAGTCTGTGCAGCCATTCAGCACATTCTCAGGGCAGGCTCTCCTTGGTCTGTATAAGAAGATGGAGCTGCAGGACTTGGCCTGATATGATCAGGTTAATACCTGACATAATTAGTGTTAACGTCCATCTGTCTTGGCAGTCTCTGGGGCAACTGAATGGATCATGAAGTCTGAGCTTTGCCAAGGCTGTGGCATTATTTACAAACCCCAAATTTATTGTAAAACAGTGGAAATACAGAGTCTAAATCTAACAGTATTTGAAAATATGGTTCCTGATTATCACAGTATATCGGTATATTCCAGTGTCCTGCAGCTTCTTTTCTGATTCTTTGTTGGATTCCTCTTGCTAAGAAGAATTCTTGTGTTTTCTCTGAACGTGAATCCCATCTCTGGGACCTTTCTCAGGGAGCTTCACGGCGCCGTGGAGCAGCATGTTGCAGTCGAGGGAGCAGTACTGCCTGGCCTGGGAATCCAAGTACTTGATGGAGCTTGGCAACGCCTTAGATTCCCTGCTGAATGGCTTTGTGAGCATGATGGCTCAGGAAGCCCTAAGATTCACTGTCTTGTCAGGTAAGAACCTGAATCCTCTCAGAGCTGCTTGAGCCGCTATTGTGTGATTTCACTGTTTGAAGGAGCTTTCCTAAACGAGGAAGATTTCTGAGAAGGCATCTCCCCAGGCAGCACTGGCACCACCCTGCAGAACTGGCCTGAGAGCCTTCTCTGCCACACCTGTAACTTAGATTTGCTCTCCTGGATTGCTGTCCCTCTTTGTCATTGACTTGTTCTTTTAAAATTACAGCTGGAAACACCTCCCTTCAGGCGTGACTGTGTTTATTTCTCTATGTTGTTACACTGTGTTTTACTTCTTTACATAAACCTTTCCATCATGCAGGTTACATTCATGTAAAGAATCTATTTGCCTCCCTATCAGAACATCAGATTCTTTCTTATCTTTCGTCTAGCAAAACATTTCTCAGATCAGCTCTTGGGAAAGAAGAACTGGAAATGACAAAAAGGTCCTAGGTTTAGCTTTTAACTTGAGTGAACCGTCTTGCTTTTGATGTTTCCTAAGAGCAGCCCAGATCTGTGACCACGCCGTGCTGTTTGCTTTGTGTGTTTCAGGTATTGTGACGGCCTTGACTTGGCCAACTTCCCTCTTGACCGTTGCCGGTGTCATTGACAACCCCTGGGGAGTGTGTCTCTATCGGTCTGCTGAAGTCGGCAGACACCTCGCACACATCCTGCTCAGTCGGCAGCAGGTAACTGGCTAGAAATTATCCAGGAATAATTTCTGGAAGAGATCTGGCCCATGGAGGTTAAATTTTATAGTTATGCTAGTTAACTATCAAGCGGGATCCTTCCAGGGAGAAGAAAATGAATAATAAACTGCAAAGTTAAAAAAATGATGCATGAAGGTGACCAGCATGTGGCTGGTTCATTGAGGAAAAATAGGAAGTCCTAAGAGAATCAGAGAATCCCTGCTGAGATTCCTTCCAGTTCACCTAAAGCTTTTCTAAATGAAGAAGAATAGATCCAGGTCATAAACGACAAATGGCTTGACCACGTCACAGCCAGGCCAAGTCCCCTAGTGGAAATCTGAGAACAGAGAATACTGAGTGTTAAAAATATTTACTGGTAATTAAGAGGCACCAGCAAAACAATGAAAGAGAAGACTCTGCAGCAGTGGATGCACCATGAATCCTATTTTTGCCTGCAGAGAAGTGGAATGGGCTAATACCTGAAAGAAGTGACAGAAATTATCAAACCCTCCTGAGAAGGTTTGCAAAGGATGCTTCTGCCCCCTAAAAGCCTGGCATTATTTGTTGGGCTGTCCCTGGCATGGAGGGAGCCTGATTTCTGCTGCCCACGTGTCCCTCTCACAGCCCAGTCCTGTCTCCTGTTATAGAGGAGCCCTACGGGAGCTGTGGCCCCAGAGCTGCCTGTCGTAAAGAACAGTGTGAAACAGCAGAGCAGAGAAACAAACTTGATTTCTCATAAAAATACAATCCCAGGGAAGGCAATAAACTTTATTTCATACAAGGCCTTTGTTTTGCTTGGGGGCATTTGTTGCTTGCCTTTTTAGCATTCGCTATTGTAAAAACACACATTCCAGCGTGCTGGAGCGTCTAACCCTGGTTAGTGTGATGTCTGGGGAGTCCATCACACACCTGCTGCCCTGGTTAATGCAAAGACCATTTTTCATTGCTGTTGAGATTAGGCTCCCTTTGATCTTATCGAAAATCTTATTAGGCTACTCAAAATAAAAGCTTATCCCCTCCCATCATTTTTTGCAGCAGCCACACAGCGCCGCTGCCATTCAGTCTTAAGTTTAGAAGTGGCCGATATTTTCGTGTTACAGCTGCTTCTTCTGTTTATTGAAACATTTCTAGGAAAATGTTGCTCCTTGCATTAGGCCTTCGTCTGGAAATTTCAAAACAATGACAGTGTCTGTTTTGTTTCTGTTTGAAACATCTGCTTTGTTGTAACTTCCGATCGTTAGATTCTTTTGACTGATTTTCTGAATGTCAAAGAATACAAAATACTCGGATATGCAGAATTCTCAATATTGAGCTGTGCATAACTTTGAGGATACATAATCCCTTCCAAATCAACCAAATTGCTCAAAGATCGTGCACAAGAGTAAGCGCTTTACGTATAAGGGCTTGGGGAATCCTTCCTAGGCCTAGAACAGGATTTGATGGCGTCTTCTCCTTTCCTTCTCCCTCAGGGCAAGCGACCTGTCTCACTGATTGGCTTCAGTCTGGGTGCAAGAGTCATTTACTTCTGCCTGCAGGAGATGGCTCAAGAAAAAGGTAAAGTTCACCTTCTAACTTTTTTCTCCTCTATTTTCCTTACTGCTGGTAGAGAAGTTTTTCTTCCAAGAGGAAGAGATCTTCTGGAAGAGAGCTTGGGTCTTTTAGGATAGGACAGAAACCTTTAAAAAAGTGGTTTTGAAACACATTTGGAGCCAAATTCTTCTGTTGTTTCAGTCAGTTCAGTGGATTAAATCCACTGTCCTCACTCGAGGTGCTCCCCTGTGTCAGTTTGGTCTCCTGTCTGTAAACAACAACTTGACATTTTGTGACATTCGAGTGCTGGATCCATCTGGGAGCTGCCCACGTGCCACTGGGACCTTGGCAGAGGATGCTTTGCCTTTCTTGGAAGCTCTCTGTAGCTATTGTATCTGCTTCCCTGAGTCCTCCCTTCCATTTAAGTCACTGAAATGCCACTGTCATCTGCTATTTTCATGGTAATTTTTCCCCAAAGTCAAGTAAAAAACCATCTGTCAATTTATTACCCGTTGTGGTTCTGTTTATTAATAGATTCTATTTTTAATTTAGTAAAAGAATAAAATCATTATGATCAGTTGATGTAAATTGCATCTTGGAGTTGAGTCAGTAGTGAGTGTGTGCATGCAGCCTCCCTCCCCCCCCACGTATCTAATTTACTTCATTAACTGTTTAGCCTCCCAGAGAGTCGCTAATAAATAAGGAGCTTTATAAAGGAAAATGTTCAATAAAGTCCAAGAAGGTGGGAATAGAGTCAAGTGAGGACAGAGAAGGTCAGCATTTCTTCTGTGGACGGCTGTGTAGCAGACCTTCAATTCTGCTTGAAGATGGAAGTCCTCAAATCCAGGAATTCTCTTCTCAAAATAAATCTAATCAAATCCAGAATGATTCTAATGGAGTTACACTGAAGCCAGAACCCAGATCCTAATCTGGCCACTCTTTTTGTGTCCTAAGAATGCCAGGGGCTGGGATATTTTCAGGCTTTTATTTAATGGTCTGCAGTCTCTCGCTGGAATAACGTGGGCCCGTAGCTAAGTAATACGTGAAAGGAAATCATTAGGGGTCTTTAAGGTTGGCTGCCATTCTAAGGAAATCTAAGCATCATAATTATGTATCATGGCAGCTCCCCACTGTACACTAATTTTTCAGTTCCTTAATTGAATTATGAAAGCTGAGCTGTTTGCGAGATGCAAAGCAGCATGTTCGGCGCAGATTGCCAAGGAGCTCTTCACAGGCACATTCCAGCACAAGCCACAGAAGGAAAGGAGCTGGGACCTGGGACATCTGAGACTGATTTGGGTTTGGACTTGGATGTCTCACACAAAAGCAATCCACGGCCCAGTCGTGCAGGCCTTTTGTATCCAGATGCCGGTGGCATTTCTGAGGACAAATAAGTAATCGTGGATTATCCAGTGAAACACCGTGGCAGAAACTCAAATTCTGTTAAAAGCAAATACTCTTCTGCAAAGCAATTAAATAACCTTTGGGATACTTCATCACAAATGGCTTTGGAAGCCAGAGCTTAGTAAAGTTCCAGAAAATGACATTCTAGCAGAAGATGTCGTAATGACCTGTCAGAGACACGTTACGACATGGGAAGGTGATTGGTCTGATTTCTTCATCACAGTTATCATACATTTTACTAAATAAGAAGTGTGAACTAATGCAAACTAATGAAAACTTAATTATTTTTTTTTTAATTTTCCTGCTGTGCAGACTTTATTATTCTTCATCATATAAAAGATTTGCAAACTGTGAAATACATTTAATTTATCTAGAGTGTCAGCAACTGCGTAGGCCAGCGATCTGTTCTCAGGTTTCCGTCCCCCTCTGTCGGGACTATTTTTTCAGCCAAGGCTGAACATTTTTGTTCTGAGCAAAAACTAAGCTGTACAAAGGCCTGGAGAAACAAAAGCTTCCAATACCTTGCCCAAATGTTCGGGATCCTGATGAATTAGCTGTTTGTTTATTCAGTTGGCTCACGCTGTGGCCGTGGAATTTAGTACCTTGGTAGGAACGAGCTCCCCGTTCGCCAGGCGCTGGGTTGCTTTTTCATCGCCCGCGATTATGGGAGCAGGACTTTATTGCTCACAGATTACACTAACAAAATTGAATTGCTCTTTGCCGTTCTCTTCATTGGTACAAAATTTGCTTTGCAATAAGGAATAATACCACGAGAGCTCTTTGGGGCGGTTGTCAGGCGCTGGGATTTATGCTGCAGAGAAGGACGCGGGCACTGCAGGCAGCTCCAGGCCTTTTACTGCTATTAGGGAAAGGAAACCAAGTGATTTACATTTAAAAAGTCTATCCAGGCAGCACCTCTCCATCATAAGTGGAGGTGGAACACAGTTACTCTCTACTTGCACTTCCACATAAACTTCAGCATATTATTTTACAAACTGCAGACGCCAGAAAAGCTCACGCCTTGCCAACGCCGGTCTCCTGCAGGTGGAGAGTATGGATTTGGCATTCCATGGCCAGGAGTCTCCCAGGCCCTGTGCTGCTGTGAATTTCCTTAACTGCTATGGCATCAGGTGCCTGCTCTCTCTTTACAAAGAAGATTTATGAACATATATTAATATACTGTTTAAGAGCATAGGAAAGTAACAGAACTGCCTGATATTTCTCATTCAATCATTATTTCTCCTGAAATTTCCCAGCTGCAGCTGTCTGATAAGAGAGGAAGATTTATTACGCTTAAAAGTCAACATTCCTTTTCAGCGAACCGTGCCCTGGGCATTCAGGTTAAAGTACCCTTCAAGAAAATCAAACCACTTTGATAGATTATCACCTTGTGTTGGCAAATGCCTTCCTTGTTGCTCGTTCCAAATCAATATTAAGGATCTGGGGGGGTTCTGTTGCACACACAGGTCATGTTTTTCATTAATTCAGTTGCGGGAAGAGTTTATTGTGCTTAATAAATGACAACATTTGCTCACTCTGTGGAACACCAGCCCCTTTCACTTGTTTCAAAGCCTAATAGTTCTGTTCTCTGTAAACCCAGATCAATAAGAACTTCCCACTGGTTTGCTGCTTGAACAGCATCTTTGTGGACAGAGGCCAGGCCACTTCTCCCTCTTCTATATTGTTCTCTGCAAACCCAGATCAATAAGAACTTCCCACTGGTTTGCTGCTTGAACCGCATCTTTGTGGACAGAGGCCAGGCCACTTCTCCCTCTTCTGTATTTTCTTCTAAATCTGAGCTTTTCTGCTTTCATCTTAATAGACTCTCAAGGGATCATTGAAGACGTGGTCTTACTGGGAGCTCCGGTGCAAGGAGAAGCCAAGCACTGGAAAGCTATCACCAAAGTGGTGTCGGGCAAGATCATAAACGGTTACTGCAGGTCTGTACGTGCTCAGCCCCCTGCTTCATTATCCTCGTGTCACTTTGGTATGATTTTGTGCATTTATCCCTTTTAAACATTGTGTAAGGAAATATTTGTTCAGCTGGTGGGTACGTTGGTGCGGTGGTGCCAGAGCCTCTTCCCTCTGGGGGTCTCTCCCTCAGATTAATTGGAGATGACAGTCGTCAAGAGGCAGTTGAAGGCTGCTCTGTCTCCTGCTCTCGGCTGTTTGTGATGTGGAGTTAACACTGGAAGCCTGAGGTGCTGAGTCCTGTTCATACAGTTGAATATTATATCACCCTGGCAGCTTAAAGCTGGTTCTGTGTGTTTGTGTGAGCAGAATTTGACACATTCTACGGCCCCTTTAAATGTCAGCTTTATGCAAAAGGCTATAAACACAGCCATTAAGTTCACTGACAGTTAAAGAACTTGAATTAAAATCTATCAAAGCTTCAAGATACAATTCACTAGGGGCTGCTTGTAGAGGACAGGATGTTAAAACTGCAGTGGAAGGGAAGGAGCTCAGGCAAATTGAAGATTTTTTTATATCTAGGCTCAGTTTCTGGTCAAGATAGTCCATGTGAGCAAGGTATTTCGCTTGCAAAGGAGGTGTAGCTAGAATAGCTGTACCAAATTTACTAAGGATGTGAAAAAAATAGAGAGGTTACCTTGAAACCAGATATCAGCCTTTCAAAACTGCACAGGCAACTGCGATGCAGAGTTGGGAGAGCTGCTGGGTGAGAAGAGGGAGATTGAGAGGCACAAAACAGCTGCAGCAATCTTATAAAAGCTATTAAGAATTCAAGTGACAGTATCAAATCTAATGACTGTGTATTGGAAGATAATTGTGACAAGAACGCTGCTTACCAGCACAATTAGGAGAGAGGCAATTAAAACGAAGGAATGAAGCAGGGAAGACTAAGAGCATGGGAAAATAAATTGAGAAATAACCAGGCAGGAAGATTAGCAAAGAGCATGTAACTGCAAATCAAGACATTTATAAAGCCACGAGCCCTCAGGTCAGGGACAGTTAAAAACACTGTTGGTACTTTCCATATGTACGTACGTATAAAATGAGGAAGAATTCTATTACTATGCACCTAACACAGTATATTAATTTACAAAGAACTAAATAAAAGAATTAAAAGCATCCAGGATTAAACCAACAAATTATTAGCCCCATTTGTCAGTTAGGCTGAAAATTGTTGCTTTTGTCCTTTTTGGATCACGGGAGGTTTTTGTGGATGCCAGATGCACACACCAGTTACAGTATTTCTTCACGTGACATAAAGAAGCAGCAATTGCTGCCTCTTTGGGTGTGCTTCTGTGTTCCTCCAAGAAGCCATAAATGACAGCAATTGTTGCGTGTAACTGAATTTGCCCTGGCAAATATCACTCCTTCCTGTGTTATACAAAAATCAATTTCACTGCAAGAAAAGCTCAGTGTATTCATTTCCTAGAATATAAAAAAAACCCAACAAACCCAACCCTGATCTCGTTATAGTTTCAAAGCCTGCATATGCTGTTGGAATAAAATAGTATGAGTGTTTGTACCTCTGTGTCTGGGGTAATTTGGTTAGTCTCTGCCTTGGCAAGCCCATGGCTTGAATGTTAAATGAAAAATGATGTAGAAATTGTAGCTCGGTGCTCACAAATAGGAAGAAGCGGTTGAGGAGACCGGCAGGAAATATTCCACGAGGCTGGTTCTCTCCATTGCCCTCAGATGCTGAATTTGAGGGTTACTCTGTTAGTAGAGGGGATAACTCAGAGATATGGAGAATTTATGTGAGGATATCAGATACAAGAGAAGGGTTATACAAACATTTTGTGGTAAGACCCCACCTGATTCTGTTTTCTCTGGTCTCTCGCTTATACATATTGTGGCCTCGTTCTGTCACTTCAGCAGTAGCTCCATTTAGGTCAGATGAATTACATTGAATAAAACTCCTGCAAGATCAGATTCAGGCCCAATTTTGTTGAGCTTCAGTCCGCTGTAGCTTGTCTCCTTCGGCTTTGAAGTCTGAAAGGATAAGGAGAGTGAAAGCCAGCTGTCACAGCAGGGTTACAAATTCCTGCTGGGAAACCTTTCCCAAATTAGTTAGACTGGCTCAGCTTTTGGAAGGACCCACGCCCGAGGAGCGTGGATGCCTCATCAAGATTTTGCAGAGCTCTGCGTAGACTTACAACTTCCAGTATGGACCATTTTGGAGTGGACAGGAGCAGCCAGAAACGGGGACCTGTGCAGGTGTGCTTCACCTGCTGCCATCAGAGAGTACAAATCCCACTTGCATCCAACTTTAATCTACTCTATAGAGCATAATGACCTTAAACTCTTGGGTCTGATGCTGTTGCTCAGCGCAGGAGAAGATATTATGTATTTCCAAAGGACACGTTGCCTTTCTCTCATCGTGCCGTAGTCTACCCTGAAACTGTCACAGTGACTTATGGCAATACCCTACAGTGGGAACAAACTCTTCCTAGTTTTGTCATTGAAATCATGTATTTATACAGTACCTATAAATCAGGAGCACTCCGAGGAGCTTCGCAGCCGGTATTTCTGTCAGCGACGTTGGTATTGTAGGCCTCGTCACGTTTACAGCTGTCTTACAGGCTGGAGAACTTCTACCTATTAGTACATTAAAAAGATTAAACATGTGAATGTCCTGCAATCTCTAAGCAAATACAGAAATAAATAGAAGGATCAGATTCTTAAACCCACTGCATAAAATGAGACTGTGCCTGGGAATCAGGATTAAATTCAGACTTACACTGCTGTGTCCCAGGAACCTGCCCAACCACTCTGATTCCTACTTTAGACAAAGCTGCAGGAGCTCTTGGTCCAAACATCCCTGTGCTTCCCGGCCCTTCTGCTCTCCTCGTGGTCTGAGTAGTCCCATACTGCATCGTTTTGGCAATTTTGGGGATTTATTCACACTCTTCTTCTGCTCTGCTCCTAGGGGGGACTGGCTGCTGGGCTTTGTGTACAGAACCTCCTCTGTCAAGATCAACGTCGCAGGCCTCCAGCCGGTCAACCTGGATGACAGGAGGATGGTAAACATGGACCTTTCTTCTGTAGTAAGTTGTTCTTTTTCCATCTGTCCTTTTCTTGCAGCACTGCAACTGCACACTCACTGAGTAGGGGAAGATGGGACACTGAAGAGAGCACCTCTGTGTATCACAGAATGGTTTGGGTTGGAAGGGACCTTAAAGATCATCCAGTTCCACCAGTCCCTGGGGAGGGACACCTCCCACCAGACCAGGTTGCTCCAAGCCCCATCCAGCCTGGCCTTGAACCCCTCCAGGGATGGGGCATTGTCCCTCTTTCTGTTCTTTGTGATAACTCTCATCTCAGACCTCAGTATAGATTTTGTTGGCCCAGCCAGTGCTCTGTATTGAGCAAAATAATGAGAATGTGCCTCTCTTGTTCGATACGTTTGGGGTTTTTTTCGTTTTGAAATTCTTATACTAGAGACAGAAAACGCTGTTATTCTCCAAGGAGGACCTTGCTGTCTTGCAAGCCCCAGATCAGCAGGTAGGTAGGATCAGATGGGAAAACTGGAGCTCAAAAACATGACTGCAGAGCCCGTGCAACCCACAATCTTATCTTGGTGGAGCCTTCAACACTGCTCAGGTTCATGGAGGGACGAGGTGATGGGCCTTGCACCTTGGTCAGTTTGGCTGTGTTGATGCCATGGAGCAGGAACCAGTCTGTAATTACAGCAGCTCAGTGATATCCGTGCCTGGTTCATTAGGTCTAGACTTGGGTTCCTGAAGGGTAGGTTCTCCAGGAAGCAGGAGGAGGTTCACCTGTACGTCTGGTAGACGTTTAGTTTCCTCAAAGCTATCTGGTGGCATTAATGATAAGCCACTATATTATATGTCTAGCAATATTCAACTCAATTACCTTAAGCAAACTAATGATCTCATCACCTTGTCTTTACTCACGAGTGAGCTCTTCCACAGAAAATCACGCAGAACTTCAGCTGTGTATTCATAGTCACAGTAATCTTGCACATGCCACCTTGGTTTTCCATATCTTAATGTTTTAACTCATTTCTCACTCTCTGCAAACCAGCAACTCTGGAAGATGCTCAGCACAGAGCTCAGGATACTTCCATGGTGACTCTTCCTGCCATGACTCCTCCTGAGTTTCCCCACAAGCTGGGTAGGGATTGTCAACGTTGCTCTGGAGCTAAAGGCACTTTTAAGTGCTTTCAGATTTATTTTATTATTTTTTTTCTTCAGATTCTTTGGAGCACCAGCCCACTGAGCCTATAAATACCCAACTGTTACCAGCTCATTTCATTCATTATAACTGAGTTATGTGCAAGCCCTTGCCAGAAAGCACAGGGCTTCATGCCCTGCAGATAAAATAGAGACTTTGCAGAACAAAATGTAGGCTTCCCAGAAGGAAGTGCCATAGCAGAGGCTTTTAAATGTGGTCCAGCGCTGTAGCTCTTCTTGTATCTTCCCATCTTACTGGTTGCCTTGGGTAGCATTTCCACATGCTGCCACATCCATTTTTTCCCTCTCCCCAGCGTTACCACCAGCCGCGTGTGAGCAGTGACATCTGTTGTGGGTGTGAAAAGGAAAATGGCCAAAGACGTCAAGCGGTGGTGGCATCGGGGTGGCTTTTCCTGTCGGTTCAGTCCGTGTTATTCTCCCCTCTTTGATTTCTCTTCAGAGACCCTCTTTCTGTTGACTTTCTGCTTCCTGAACTGTGAAACCCCCTGGAGTCCTGCAGGCTTTCTCCTGCCTGGCTCGCAGCAGCCTCTCCGTTTCTGCCCCGGAGGAGCAGTATTTACATTTCAGTTAAATGAATAATGCTTGCAGAGCTGCTATCTGCTAATCTGCTCTTGTCGGGCATCTGTGTCCGCGCTGCCTGATGCCAACAGACAATCCCAGTGCTGTTCTCTGGGATAAGAGAAAGAGCTGACACTTTCACTTGCTTAATCTTCCTGCAAAGCATTGAGGGGGGGGAAAGAAGCAACTCCCGCAGTGGGAAAATCCTATATTAAGTAGGTGTCATTCTCTTCTTCCATTTTCCAGACCATGGAGCTTTATGAAAAGAAATACAGTGCATTTTGATGAACATTTTAACAGTAAAAGGAGAAAGAAAGAGGAAGGAAAGATTCAGGGACAATATTTTTTAAAGTGGAAAGAAAGCAAAGATGGATTTTGCTGCAAATACAGTGCAATAGCTTAACAGAAATACAGAGAGAGGTATTTTCTATATTGGGAACCAGCTCCATCCCTGCAGATGCCCTTGCTGGAAGTCCCTGTGAGTGTCCTGCCGGGAATAAGAAAGGACAAGCTGTGATAGAAGAATAAAGCATAGATGATGCAAAGGTGCTCAGTGTGCAGATATTATGCAGGCAGCCTTGGTATTTTAGGCATCTCCCAGTCCGTCCATGATGAAAACTGGACTGGAGCCAAAGGGCTTGGTTCTCTTCGCTGTGGTAGCATCAGAATCCTCAAATGAACGGAGGACTAAGAGACCTCAGTATAAACAGGAGTTCACCTCCAAGGCATTTATTGCACGTCTCTCTTGATTAGTATGTTTTTTATCTGACTGTCAGTAAAAAAACTGAGAGAAAAAGGTCCTCCCACTCAGCAAATGCAGTTATAAAAGCTCCCCTAATGGTTACAATGGGACTGATTTATTCAGTAGATTTATTTGACAGCACCTGTTACAGAGACCAAGGAAGTAATTGAGCTGTAGTGTATTAGATTGATTGCTGTTTGTTCAAAAGGGATATTGTAGATTACATTTTGCATTAACATTTGAATATTGCAGAAATGCTCAGAGGCAGAATGTAGGCAGAGTATTTTCATGGAGGCTCATAAGTCACGAAGGATGGTGAAGTTTCCCTGGGCAGTTTTACTGCAGCAGAAACCAGGGATGAACTTGGAAGCTCAGGGACAGCAGGAATGCCTGGCTGGAAGTCTAGTAGAGAGCACGGATGGATCGTGACAATTATTGTGGGAGTCATAGAATGGTTTGGGTTGGAAGGGACCTTAAAGCCCATCCAGTGCCACCCCATGCCCTGGGCAGGGACACCTCCCACCAGACCAGGTTGCTCCAAGCCCCCTCCAACCTGGCCTTGAACCCCTCCAGGGATGGGTTCTTCCCCAGATCTCATCTCAGTCTCCCCTCTCTCAGTGTAAAACTCTTCCCCCTTGTCTTATGGCTCCCCTCCCTGATCCAGAGTCCCTCCCCAGCTTTCCTGGAGCCCCTTGAGGGACTGGAAGGGGCTCTGAGGTCTCCCCAGAGCCTTCTCTTCTCCAGGCTGAACCCCCCCAACTCTCTCAGCCTGTCCTCAGGGTAGAGGGTCTCCAGCCCTCCCAGCATCTCCGTGGCCTCCTCTGGCCCCACTCCAAGCCATTCCAACATCTCTATGTCCCTCCTGTGCTGTTCTCTTGTTAGTCCAATGTGAAACTTGTCTTAAAGATCTTTATACTTAGATTAAGTTTTGCATTGACTTTAGAACTCCTTCCTTTCCCACCCTTCCCATGGCAGCTAAATTCTCCTTGTCTCCACCGACGTGTTGTCTGGATGGCAGCTGCCTGCCTGCCGTGCTCACAAACTCCTGTAAAGGTGCCACGTGGCAACACCAACAGAGTAAATCAGTCATTGCAGTGGCACATGGAGACCAAACATGCTGGTGCATTTCACAGCCATCTCTGCATCATCTGGAAGGCGAAACAGCAGAGCTGCTTCTGAGAATAACCTGTATCAGCACACCTTTGCTTTTTCCCTCTGAGATGCCTCCAAAGCTTTTTACCTCTGCTTGTCTTTGCTGCTCTAAGCGAGCAGTGGGAAAGCTCTTTATGACAATGATTAAAACCCAAGAACAACTGATCTCTCTTTCCAAAAGCTCTCTCAGCAGAGGGGCCTAGTGTTCCTGTGATGAGGGATGCAAACAGATTCAAGGCAATCTGGCCTTCAGCCAGGCAGGTTCCCAGTGTACATAAATACCAGAAGCAGATGAGAAGTCTGAATTTTGTGAAATCCAACTGATTTGGAACTTCTGTGAGTCTGGCTTTTTTCCTAAAATGCGTTAAACTGTGGGCTTTTTTTTTCCCCTGTGTTCCCAAGACTTGCAGCAAACAGTTGTGGTTACGAAATATAGATTAATTAGGAACCCTGGGGAGCTCAAAAGGCAAAAGGCTGCCCGCGCCTCACGACACCTTTGTTTCACTTGCTTCAAACCAGCAGTGCCACCTCCCATGGTGCCAGGCATTAACAGCATCAGAGGAGCCACCACCAGGAGCAGAACTCAGCTTCAGGCCGTGGCTCAAAGGAGCCTGGAGAGCCTTCTCTTGCTTCTGGGGGACACATGAGTCTCTGGGGAAACAAGTCTATTTGTCTGCTCTGCTGGAAGGTCACAGCGACAATTTCTTCCTCTTTCTATGTCCCTGCAACCCTGGAGCAGCTTAGTTTTCCACGATCCTTCTTGCTGTTGACTTTGGAGCTGTGAGAATCACACATTAAATACACATGAAATACATTTTTTCCCTTTGGGATCCAAGCAGAGGGTGCTGGCAGTGGCAACAGCTTGGAACAGAGGAAGAAACTGAAAAAACTTAGCCCAAAAAGTGCAAATGGAGCCATTAATGACTTCCAGTTTGTTTTTACTTTGCGGCAGAGAAAAACCTCAAAGTCTGGTGTCCCTCCTTGCTTCTGCATCGCTCGGTGCTGCTGTACCCTTTGGAAGGCTGGGGATATTTAAGCTGTTTCTAAAAAGCAGAGAGAAGAACCAAAGAGCCAAAACAGTGTGTCCCTGCTGCAGATTTACACAAGTCACATCCCCGTTTCCTCCGTTGTGCAGGGCCCACGCGTGTGTCGTTGCACGGTGGGTTTGCACAACGTCTGTCGGAGCGCGTGCGGCGTTGGGACACCCCGACTGCCCTGGGCAGAGCTGCATCTCTGCGACTGCACCCTTCTCCTTCAGAAAAGCTGAGTTTATGAAATGCAACAATTTAGAAAGATTCAGGGTTGTTTATGTTCACATCTAAACAATTCAACACATGAAACCTGCTATTCCATTAAGTTTTGATACCGTCACTTCTTT